TTGCATTGCTCAATTATCTATATATACATAAACACCTAAGCGACTGTCCAACCGGTAGCTATGACGTGCATGACCACCAGGGGGCAGATGTTCAATGCACAGGCATGGAACATGGAACAGACTGATGAATTTCGGGGGGGCGGGGCGGCAAGAGATTAACCAAAGATCTTATATGCATACTAGAGGCCTGGTGCACGGATTCATGCACCGGTGAGGTCCCTTGGCCTGGCCTGCGGGGATTGAGCCGAAACCAGCAGTCTTACATCCCCCGAGGGGTCCCAGATTGTGAGAGGGCACAAGCCAGGCTGAGGGACCCCACCGCACCGGTGCATGAATCTGTGCACTGGGCCTCTAGTGAATATATAATTGATTTCAGAGAGGAAGGGAGAGGGAGAGAGAGAAATATCAATGATGACAGATAATCATGGATCAGCTGCCTCCTGCATGCCCCACACTGGGGATCGAGCCTGCAACCCAGGTGAGTGCCCTTGACCGGAATTGAACCATGACCTCCTGGTTCATAGGTCGACGCTCAACCACTGAGCCAAGCCGGCTGGGCTGAATTCTTTTTATTTATTTTTTATTTTTTTATTTTTTTTGTTACTCATCACCTGAGGATATCTTTTCCATTGAATTTTAGAGAGAGAGAGTGGAAGGGAGAAGGGAGAGAGGGAGGGAGGGAGGAGGAGGAGGAAGAAGAGGAGGAAAAGGAGGAGGGGAGAGAGAGAGAAGATAGAAATATCAATGTGAGAGAGATGAAACACATGGATTGGTTGCCTCCCGCACGCACCCAGACCAGGGCGGAGGATTGAACCTGCAGCCCAGATACGTGCCCTTGCCCAGGAATCGAACCTATGACCCTTCAGTGCATGGGCTGATGCTCTAACCACTGAGCACCGACCAGGACTGAATTCCTTTTAATAGCAGAAGACTAGAAACACCAGGAGACGGGGCATAAATGATGGTAGCTCCACTAACGCAGAGTTCAACGGTGAAGAGAGATGGAGACTGCGGGGAGGTGGGAGCGGTTGAAGGGAATTTGCCTGTAGGATGGACGAGGCGGCGAGAGGGCAGCTGGGAGTGGGTTGGATGAGGACCCTCCAAAAGTATGTCCAGCTGGAATGCGTGAACGTGACCCTATTGGCAAACAGTCTTTGCGGAGGTAAAGGTCTTCGGGTGAGATCTTCCTGGATTAACTGGTGGCCCCGCGTCCAATGACGCGTGTTCTCGTAACAGACGGGAGAGCAAGAGACTGAGGCGGGGCAGTTGAAGTTGGGGGCAGAGGTTGGAGTGATGGCTCTACAAGCCAGGGACCTCTAAAGGCAGGGTGGGGCCCGGGCAGCGTGGCTCAGTGGTTGAGCATCGACCTATGAACCAGGAGGTCAGGGTTCGGTTCCCAGTCAGGGCACAGGCCCGGGTTGCGGACTTGGTCCCCAGTAGGGGGCGTGCAGGGGGCACCCGATCCATGATTCTCTCTCATCATTGATGTTTCTCTCTCCCTCTCCCTTCCTCTCTGAAATCAATAACAAAATATATATTTTTAAAAAGACAGGGCAGGGATGCAGCCCCAGCGGCCGGAGGAAGCAGGAATGAGTCCACCCCCCACCCCAAGCCTTCGGGGGAGCATGGCCCTGCCGTTGCCTTGATTCTGTAGACGTCTGGCCTCTAGGACTGTTGAGAAGAAACGTCTGTTGTTTTAAGCCAAGCCCGTGGTACACGGTTACAGTGGCCAATACAGACTTCGGTGGCCTCTTGAGATACATCTTTGACAAAAGCCAGGGGGAGAGAAGCATGCTTGCTGTGCTGCCATTTCTCAGAGGGAGGGACCACATTCAAACACAGATGTGTTCCTATGTGTGCATGTATGTGCACCTGGATTGTGTGTCCACTTCTGTGGACATGCATTATATGTGCTTATATATCTGCTTATATTAAAAATAATGCAGGGAGCCCAGCCAGCATGGCTCAGTGGTTGAGCGTCGACCTATGAACCAGGAGGTCAGGGTTCGATTCCCGGTCAGGGCACATGCCCGGGTTGCGGGCTCCATCCCCAGTAGGGGGCGTGCAGGAGGCGGCCCATCAGTGATTCGCTCTCATCACTGATGTTTCTCTCTCTCTCTCTCTCTCTCTCCCTAAAATCAATAAAAACATTTAAAAATAATAATGCAGGAAAAACAGTAGTTCTCAAATGGTTGCCTGCGAGGAGAGGGAGGAATAGGGTAGCAGGACAAGCACACACACACACACACACCAGACCCCTATATGTTGGTCTTTGGGGCCATGTCAATATTTTACATAATCATCAAATTTCAAATCCAAAATAAAGTGAAATACGTGTGTGTCTGACTGATAGCTTAACCACACAGAGAAGAAATATTTCGAGTTACTTTAAAACACAGTAACTTGACGACCTGTTCCTAGTGAGATGTGCTTTAAGGTCTAAAATAACTAAGAGAAATGGCAGTTGTCAGTATGTACAGGTGGTCATATTGGTACTGTTATCTGGACACGATTATGTATCTGTGTGACGTGGGGTAAAGCGAAGGAGCAATTATGTGAGATTCGATTAGTAGCATCCCTTTTGTATCCTACCCTTCAAAAAGAAAATATTGTCTGTCGACTAAAAAGGCCTCAAAACAATGACCAACCCAGTAGCAATGGGTTCCGCCACCACCAAGAAACCAAGTGTCACCCAGCCGGTGTGGCTCAGTGGTTCAGCACTGACCTATGAACCAGGTCACTTTTTGAATCCCCGTCAGGGCACATGCCTGGGTTGTGGGCTCGACCCCCAGTAGGGGGCGTGCAGGAGGCAGCCGGTCCATGATTCTCTCTCATCGTTGACGTTTCTCTCTCTCACCCTCCCTCTCTGAAATCAATAAATATATTTTTAAGTAATTTAAAAAATGGATAGAACTGCTATCATTTTGCAACCCGCAGTGAATGCATGGATCTGAGCATTGATGGACGTTGCGAACTTACAAAAAGAAACCTTATTGCCGGCTGGTGGGCGAACATATGAATGTCTCGCCACCCACATCCCCGCAACGGAAGGGGCGACGGGAGCTGGACCCTGATCACGCGGCTGGATCCAGCGGCTCTTCCCAGGAGTTATTTCGAGGAGAGTTCAGAGGAGCAGGGATACAATCAGCGAAGCCCGGAAAGTGGGGGACTAGGACATGCGTCCTTGTTTCTTCGACAAATGACACGGTGTGTGCGGGGGGGGGGGGGGGGGGGTGGATCCTGTAGATTAAAAATAGACACAACTCCAGGGAGACACCACTTCGCACCTAGTAGGACGGCTGTGATCAACATGACTGAACGAGCGTCAAAATGTGGAGCCACGCCCTGACCGGTTTGGCTCAGTGGATAGAGCATCAGCCTGCGGACTGAAGGGTCCCAGGTTCGATTCCGGTCAAGGGCATGTACCTTGGTTGCAGGCACATCCCCAGTCGGGAGTGTGCGGGAGGCAGCTGATCGGTGTTTCTCTCTCATCGATGTTTCTAACTCTCTATCCCTCTCCCTTCCTCTCTGTAAAAAATCAATAAAATATATTTAAAAAAAGAAAAAAAATGTGGAGCCACTGGCACCCTCCTACCCCACTGCCGGGAATGTCAATGGTGCGGATGCTGCGGAAGCCAGCCTGGCAGTCCCTCAAACAGCCCAACATAGAGCTACCACGGGACCCGGCAAGTCCACTGTTAGAGACACAGGAGAAATGAAAACATCTGTCCAAAACTTGAACGTGAATGACCACAGCAGCATGATTCATAACAGCTACACACAGCCATCTGGGAGCTGGATCAACGACGTGTGGCCCATCCACATGGTGCGATATCATTCCGCAACCAAGAGGAGTGGAGTTCGGACACACGCAGCACGGGTGAGCCTGGAAGGCACGCTGCTGAGTGAAAGAAGCCAGGCACACAAGGCCACACAGTGTGACTCCATGGATATGAAATGTCCGGAACAGGCCCAGCCACAGACAGAAAGCAGATCAGCATCGCCGAGGACTGGGGGAGAATTGGGGTGACTGTTAATGGGTACAGGGTTCCTTTTGGGGATGATGACAAAGTTCTAAAATTAATAGCGATATTTGCACAGTTCTGCATATACTAAAAACTGCTGAATTACATGCTTTAAAAGGGTGAAATGTATGGCATATGGATTCTATCTCAAACAAGCTGTTACCAAGAAAACCAGATGGATGGTTGCCAGAGGTGGGAGAAATGGGTGAAGGATTTAAAAAACATATAAAGATTTAAAAATCCCAATAAACAGATATTTGGATTCCATTCAGTTCAGCGGTTCTCCACCTGTGGGTCGCAACCCCTTTGGCGGTTGAACAACCCTTTCACAGGGGTCGCCTAAGACCATCCTGCATATCAGATATTTACATTATGATTCCTAACAGTAGCAACATGACAGTGATGAAGTAGCAACGACAATAATTTTATGGTTGGGTCATAACATGAGGAACTGTATTTAAAGGGCCAGAAGGTTGAGAACCACTGGTTCAGTTTAGAAAAGAATGATCACCCTGGCAAGTATGGCTCAGTTGGTTGTGCTTCATCCCATGCACGCAAGGGCTGCCAGTTCGATTCCTGGTCAGGGCACAGGCCCAGATTGTGGGCTCGGTCCCCAGTGGGGGGCGTGCAGGAGGCAGCTGATGATTCATTGATGTTTCTCTCTCTCCCTTCCTCTCTATAAAATCAATCTTTTTAAAAACTCTTTAAAAAAAGAATGGCCTATGAGACGAATGAGATGAACCCTGGATAATGACATTTAGGACGTAGTTAAGTTGTGGAAGGACAGGGGAGGCAGAGGGAGGTGTAGACGAAACAAGAGCCACCAGGACCGAGCCGTGTTGAAGTCGGGATGGCTGCATGTGTGTTCATTTCGCTATTTTTATGCCTCCATTTGTATGTTGAAAAAAATGATATACATCTTTATATATTTAAGTCTCCGTAATGACAGCATTTTAAAAAATCACACATTTGCACTTTGTTGTTAAGGCAGATTAGTTTAATTTTATAGAAGAAATACTTTCAAGCAATACAAATGGCACAATTAGAACAGAGATGACTACTGATTAGAACTTATTCCCACAACAGGAGGTGACAATTGCATGATCAGATGCAGTAAAGATCAAGTTCCCTTTTCCCGTGTCTGGATTCGAACTGATGAACATGGCACGGTGCTGGGTATCCAGGGCGTGGCATGGACCAGGTGAAACAGAAGGTGAAAACACCCCTTAAGACGACAGGACTTCACTTTCTGACGCGCAGGTGGCGTCGAACGCAGCGTCCCTGAATGAAGGCGGAGTCCTCCTGCCTGACCCCGGCTGGGCCGTGGCTGGCTTTGTGCCCTTTGGGGCCAGGACAGTGGGGGCTGGGGGAGGCCCCAAGTGCTCCTCAGACAGACAGCAGCGCAGGCCTGCGCTTGCTTCTGGGGTTTCTGTTAAGCCCTGGGGCGGGGAGGCACCCCGCGTGCCAATCTGTCCGCGCTGGGCAGTGAGATTTGTTGCCAACACCACGTGAGAGCTTTCCGCGGGGCGGGGGGAGGTTAGCAGAAAAGTAGCCTCGAGGCACCGGCTTCAGGTGGCAGCCACTGAACCGGGGCGGCCAGGCCACGGCCAGGGGACTCTCCCACGTGAGGGAGCCGTGCACCCCGAGGCGGCAGTGACCGGCCCCGCACCCCGAGGGCAGGGCAGACAGTGGTTGGTGGAAGTTTCAGCAGCGCATGGAGGGGGCCCGGCCACTGTCCTCCAGGCTCCCGACGCTTTGCGCGTCTCTATCTCTGTTGTGGGCATGAACACAGAGAAATCAGCCAAAAAAAACAAAACGCAACAACAAACCAGCGAGAGTCGAGGCACAAATACATAGCAAAGAGATGACAAGGGTGAAAAGCATAAAGTTTTCAGTCTTACCACCACTGACAACTTCCATTGCCCGTGACAGGTCGCGTGTCAATGAAATGCTTTTACAAAATTCACTTTTAATAAATGCAAAAGGGAAGGTGGGCTCTACACGGGGGCGATTACAGACTAACGAGGAGAGACATGGATTAAAGGGGGCACTTCAGGGAGGGGCAGGGAATCTAGGGCGAGAGAGTTCCGCTTTCTTCTCTAATCTGTGTGACCACCTCACTTACTTCTCTGAGGCCTCAGAAGGGAGAGTGCATTCCGTATACAATAAATACGCATTAGGCAAAATATTCATATCATTTAGCATTTCAAAAGAATAGTGGGATTTTTATTACATAAAACAATTTTCTCGTGAACTACTTCTAAGATTTCTTAAGAAATATTGGGTAGATTCCAGTATTGGGGGGAAGGATTCTGATTTCAATCAAATATCTCACATCCTCTCCTGTGAATGACTCGCTGGGTGACAGCAGTCACCCGCGTGCGCATGCGCTTCCTTCCCCAGAAAAGCGCCTTCAGAGGTCAAGCCTAAGTCAGAGGGTCAGGCTGCCGTCGCCTGGGCGGAGTCACTGACTGATGACAGTGCGTTTCTAAGTCTCTTTCACTTTCCTTCATGACAGAGCAGTAGAACGGGAGCCCCGCACCGCCTTCCTGATGGTCAAGGTCAGGGTCGGATGGGGCGCACCAGAGGGGCAGAGTCGGTGCCCGGGTCGGTGCAGGGCAGCGTGGGCAGCCGCTGGGGACAGGCAGGCCCCAGCCAGGGCCGTTTCCAAAGCTTCAAACTCGGGGGGGAGCACAGAACCGTGCGCTGACACAACACAGAAATGGGGGGTTTTGGCGCCCAGTCCCCGCGGGGGACCGGGCTCTGCGACTGAGCCCCAGGTGGGATCTCAACAGGACACAGTGAGTGTGACAGTGGACAATATACACAATCAAGGCACACAGGAGACACTGGTACGAGTGACGAGTTTAGCACAAAGTGTTTGCATGTCCGTGTCAGAAACAAAACCGGCCCCGAAGCTCCATTCTACTGCATGACAAATACTGAGGAATACAGTTTCAGCCTTAAAATACATCTTAAAGTCAGTATTTTTCCTTCAAGGAAAAAAAGTACTATAAATAAGTTACAATACAGTGAATTTGCCTGAACTCACTTCGTTTCTGTCTTCCAGCCTTTAAATCAAATAAAACAGCGTAAAAACTGTACACTCTTAACAGGATAGTTGATCTCTTATAAAATAACTTGTCTTCAGAGATGTCAATTTCACAACAAGGAAAAACCAAGCCCTGTTGCCGTCACTATTATAAAATATATATGTATAGATATATGTGTGCTTTTTTACAAAATGTGTATATTAATAGCTTTGCACAAATAGTTTAAAGACAACTTTAGCTAGTCTAAGAACTTCATGAAAATAAAACAGGAAGATAAATACTTCGTGTGTACAAAGCACTACATCAAACATCGTCGGCGGGCAGAGGAGGTATGTTAATCCTTGGTCTTGTAAAAAACGCTATCTTCTCCCTGCGACGGGAAAGAATTCCAGGTTAGACGCCCACATAAAGCAAGCAGAGCTGCCAGGAGGCTCACAATACCAATGAAAGCTTTTCTTATCCACAGAACAAACTGAACTGAAATACCAACAACAAATCTGTTTGCATATGGAGTCTCTACTTTAGAAAACATTTTTATTTTTTTGGAGAGAGAGAGTAAGGGAGAGGGAGACAGAAACATCAATGATGAGAGAGAATCATGGATCAGCTACCTCCTGCACGCCCCCTACTAGGGATCAAGCTTACACCCCGGGCATGTGCCCTGACCGGGAATCGAACCAATGACCTCTGGGTTCATGGGTTGATACTCAACCACTGAGCCACGCCAGCTGGGCTAGAGTCTCTAAATTTGAATAGAAGTTACAAAGGACTGTGAGGGCAAGGGTTTGTCTCTAGTGCCTAGAACAGTGCCTGCTATGCGGCAGGCACTCAGTAAACATTCGCTTTATTAAAAAATGCATAAATAATGTATACAAATGAAGGTGTTCTAAATCAGAATTGAAGGAAGGTAGCTACAGTGCTTTATGTTCTTTTATGATGGGGATGTGAAAATTCAGGGTATAAAAAAATTCAGGGTAAAAGTCAGGCACATATTATTCAACCATAAAAAGGAATGAAGTGCCCTGGATGGTTTTGCTCAGTGGTTGGTGCATCGGCCTGCAGACCGAAGGGTCCCAGGTTCAATTCCAGTCAAGGGCACGGACCTTGGTTGCAGGCTCAGTCCCCGGCCCTGGTCAGGGCACATGTGCAAGGCAGCCAATCGATGTGTCTCTCTCACATAGATGTTTCTCTCTCTCTGTCTCCCTCCCCTCCATTCTCTTTAAAAAGATCAATGGAAAGAATATCCTATAGTGAAGATTAAGAAAACAAAACAAAAAAGAGGAATGAAGTTCTGACACATGCTACAATGTAGATGGACCTCAAGAAAAACATTATCCGAAGAAGCCAAGCAGAAAAGACTCCATACTGTATGGCTCCATTGATGGAAACGTCCAGAACAGGCAAATCCAGAGAGACAGGGGCAGACTGCTGGTTGCCAGGGGCTGGGGGAGGGGGTGACCACTAATGGACTTCCTTTGGGGGTGATGGAAATGTTATGGAACTAGACAGAGGGAGTAGTTACAAAACACTGTGGCTGTGTTAAGTGCCATGGAATTGTTCACTTTAAATGGTTAGTTTTATGCTATGTGAATAGATGAGGGAACACTGATCTACAATATTCACATCCAAGGCGGCGGTCCCTCTGGTGTGGGAAGTCTGAGGCTGCTGATGTTTCATTCTTGCCATGTGGAGTCCGTGACAATTCCCTGAACTATTTCACACCTAGGATATGCACACTTCCTGCATGTGCGTTATGCTTCAATCAGAAGTTAACAAAAAAAGGCCACAGTGAAACACAGATATATATATGTAAATCACTGTGTGAATAACAGCAAACATTTGGAAAGAAACAGGTTATATTCAGGCAAATTATACCCATGCGAAGAGCCACTACAGCCAACAAAGGGAACGGATTGCATGGCAACGTGGGATATTTTCATTTAAACAAAACTAAATGCAAAATGGAACCATGCCTGGCAGGCGTGGCTCAGTGGTTGAGTGTAGACCTATGAACCAGGAGGTCACGGTTCGATTCCCGGTCAGGGCACATGCTCAGGTTGTGAGCTCCATCCCCAGTGTAGGATGTGCAGGAGGCAGCCGATCAGTGATTCTCATTCATCATTGATGTTTCTCTCTCTCTCTCCCTCTCCCTTTCTCTCTGAAATTAACAAAAATATATATTTTTTAAAAAGAGTAAGAGTCCTAGCTGGTTTGGCTCAGTGGATAGAGTGTCGGCCTGCGGACTGAAGGGTCCGGGTTTTATTCCAGTCAAGGGCACATGTCCAGGTTGTGGGCTCGATCCCCAGTAGGGGGCGTGCAGGAGGCAGCCAATCACTGATGCTCTCTCATTATTGATGTTTCTATCTCTCTCTCTCTCTTCCTTCCTCTCTGAAATAAATAAAAATATATTTTTAAAAAGAAAAAGAGACTAAAAAAGGAAAAATTTTAAGAATGGAACCTATATTACTATAAACAGCTTGAAAAAAAGTGTCTAGAATAAAAAGAGCAGAAGAAACCTGAAGATGCTAACAGCACGGGGAACCCTGTCTTGGGGGTTTGGGGACTTCCGTCAGCTGATGAGGACAGAGGCCTGACAGTGAGGAGCCGGAAGCGGCTGCGCCCCTACCTGAAGGTCTGCACCTGCACGGGCTCCTTGTGGTTCTGCCCCCGCAGCTGGCAGACCCCTTTGGAGGCCTTCTTCAGCATCTTCTCAGCTGCCTGTTCTTGGTGGAAGTCAAGCTTGGTCTGTCTGGTCTGGAGCGGCAACATTGGATGAACAAGGCGGTTTACTTCCAGTTTTAAGGAAGAATGAATGAAGCCACTGCCAGCTCGGGGGGCACGAAGGGGAGAAAGGCCCGCCGCCCCCACTCCCCCCCCCCCCACCAGGGAACCTTCACAGCAGCTCCTCAGGGTCACGCCTCACAGACGTGGGGCCCAGAACACCGCGCTGGACAGAGAGACCCAGCTGCAAGACGAAACCGGGACGGCTGCCATGAGGGTTTGACCCCCTGAAAGGCTTGCTTCCGAGCCCGCGGGCACCGCAGTGGCCGTGCGGGGCCCTGGCCGCTCACCTGCCGCTCCGCCTCCTTCAGCAGGCTCCGGAACCGCTCGTCCCGCAGCACCCAGTGCGGGAGGTCGGTCTGGCCTCGGAGCTGGGCGTCCTCCAGGCGCTGCCTCAGCTCGCGAAGGGTGCAGATCTCCTCGTTCAGCTGCCTCTGCCGAGTTTTTGACGCCTGGAGGTCCAGCTCCAGGTCCAGGGACGTGCGGGCCATGAGCTCGGCCAGGGATGACCTACAGGACTGCAGGAGACCACAGCCGTGAGCACACACTCGGACCAGACACGCGGGCATCATGCGGCCAGCACGCTCAGGCCTTCTAGAAGGTTCTTCCCCCCAATACAGGAGACAATGGAGTAGAGTTATCAGGGAGGTATTTGTCTTCGCATGGCCCAGTGTTAAAAAACCAAACACAGCATAGATTTGGGAGAGATTAATTTAAATCTTGGTTCAATATCCAGTTAATGACAGCAAATTTTTTTCTGTAACGACGATGGATGTATTTGCAAAGGTGTGGAGAAACAGACCCTCCCCTATGGGGCTGGCAGGATCAAAAAATGGGCATAATCGTTCTAAAATGCTATTTCACAATATATATCAAAAGCCAAAACGTGTATTTTCTTTCATTCTGAAATTTCATTTTCACTTGCATTTGAAAGGCACAGCTGGTGATGTGTAGAAGTGATCCAATTAAGGTTCATGACAAAAACAAAACAAAACACTAAATATCTATAACATGAGGAAACTTATTAAATAAATGACAAGGTTAGTATAGAATGTAGCCATTGGAAAAAGTTAAAAAACTATTGACATGGAATATTAACAATGCACTGAATAAGGGGGAAGCATGCCATAAACCATACAAGTGTTTTTGTTTAAAATCCCAGAGCCCAGCTGGTGTGGCTCAGTGGTTGAGCATTGACCTATGAACTGGCTCAATTCCCAGTCAAGGGCACATGCCTGGGTTGCAGGCTGATCCCCAGTGGAGGGCGTGCAGGAGGCAGCTGATCCATGATTCTCTCTCATCATGGATGTTTCTATTTCTCCCTCTCTCCCTTCCTCTCTGAAGTCAACAAAAATACTAGTACATTTTTTAAAAATGTAAAGAACACGAATTATTTTACATCTCAGATCATGATATTATCGTAGGAAATTAAGAAACATGGGTAACATTTTGACATCATTAGGCTTTATAAATTTTTACCCAAGTAAACAAGGAAATAAATAAATGACCTTTTAATGAATACGACCTAAAAGGCTGCTTTTATGAAGGTTTGTAAGAATAACTCCTGGGGAAGTGTGGATTCCGTATTAGCTTACGTGCACACACCTGCTTGTAGCGGAGGGTCCGTCTTTCCAAAGTGTTGCGGACGAAGGGGGACTTCCGGGGCAGCGTGGAACTGTCGCTGTCGCTGCGGTAAAGCTGCACCAAAAACAACGCGGGTCAGAAACGCTTTCTCCGCAAGTCCGCAGCCTTCTCCCTGCGCTCTGATCTGGGCTATCTCCTTTCTCCTCACAGGCTCTCCAATGCATGTGTAATTGTACCAAGACTCCTGGTTTCAGTAAAAACAAAACCTACACAAGCCTTTTTAAAATGAAAGACAAAAAAACCCGCAAAAAATAAATGAGCAAACCACCCCCACCTCCACCCAGCCCTCCCTCTCGGCCATCAACTGCACCACCAACTGCACCACCCGAGCTTTGAGCTTCCCGCCAGCAGCAGGGGGCCTGGGGCTGATGTGTGACGCTGGAACAGCCAGCAGTCCCCAGCACTTTTCACTCTGCGTCTTCACTCTTCGCTGTCTGGCAGCAGCTGTGCCGCTGGTTCGGGCCGGATCTGGGAAAGCGGCCTCCCAGCAAAGCACTCGCCCCCGGAGGACAGGCGCCCCGCGGCCCGGCCCGGGGAAAGGCTGCCTTCAAACAGAAAAGGAAGAATGCCTCCTTTCTGGCGGCTAAGACGCTGCCAGATGCGTTTCATCTGGCGGCAGGTTCTGCTTCAGGATCAATGTGCAACTGTGTGAAAGCCAGAGGCCTTGCCTTCGGCCTGACTGTCCACGCCCTTAACGCCAAATACTCAGGCAGCGCGTGCCATGCCTCCCGGCACTGGGAACATATATGAGAACAAAGAGGCCTCTGAAAGCATCGCGGGTAAACTGCCTGCTCCTCGGCAGGGCGCTGAGCAGGCAGGAGCCAGAAGCCTCCCCCTGGGGAGAAAGGGTCTCCTGCTCCGTCACCTCCCCATGAGCGGGCTGGCATCTGCCCCCCAGTGTCCGCAAGAGTCTAGAATAAGGAGGGGACGTGAGGGTGGCCTTCCATCTAGCGCCTCCAGCCGCCTGATGAAGCGTGGGCCCCCTTGGGGCTGAATCCTGACGGGGTAGGAGTGCCCGGGCCAACCCTGTGCTACCCAGGGCTGCCGTGGGCCACGCCCGTCACTGCTGGCAAAGGAGAGAAGCAGGTGTCGCCAACGTGGCCACAGGGCAGCTCGGGCCACCTGGCACCAAGCCCTGCTGCTCACTCTGCGGCAAAGGATCAACCTGGCCCCAAGGAAGGTCCTTGGCCAGTTCCTGGGAGGTGACCTGCAAGGCCCTGGAACATCCTAAGTGTCTTTGGGGGCCTTGGACCAGGCCACGTGGTCTCTGCTGACCATGTGGTTCATGGCGGGGGGGCTCTGGCCACCAGCTGACCCTCTACAGGGGCTGCACACCAGTCAGCCATGCAGGCAATCAACTGTGCCAACGCCCCACGTCCGCAGACACCGGGGCCAAGGCTCCGGGAGCTTCCCCGCCTGGCAATGCTGTGCGTGCTGTCGCCTGTCGCTGCTGGGATCACCCAGCAGCTCAGGCCTGGTCTCTCCCGAGCTCGGCCCAGGCGCCTCTTCCTTCTGCTGACTCTGGTCTATTCGGCAAACCACCTCCATCACCAATAGAATGGGGGCCTGTTGAGTTCTGCGAGTCCTAGCAAATCACCAGCCCTGAGGGTGGCGTGGGGAGCCCTGAACCGCAGTCCCGGGGCCGCCCGCACGGGTCGGAGGGCTTTTTATGTCATGTGATCGACTCTGGCTTTGACCTGATGGGCCAGCTGCTCGGCAGTCCCTTCAACAAGTCCAATTCAGGGGAGCAGGAGGGTCAAAGTTCTCCCCAATCCAAGGTCCTCCCCAGACATCGTGTCAACACCATTCATGCTGAAAGAGCCCTTCTCTTTCCTAGCCTGTGCGTGGCTGTCACACTGCCGCTGTCTGCCAACTTCCACCACGCTGTCCCTTCTCCAAGGACCACGGGGAGTTGGGTCTCCCCTCCGCCTGTTCACGTTCTCAGCCCTGCGTGCACGCCAATCGCCCATCGGGAAGCATCCCAGAGCTGATGGCCGGCGGCCGGCCCCGCTGCGACCAGTGGCGACCCCTGGGGGTGGAACCAGGCACCAGCCTACGTGAGGCCCCAAGAGAAGCACCCAGCGCCTCCCGCATCACCCGTGGGTGCGAATCTACACGTGGGGAGTCGGAACCCTGTGCCTCAGTGCCCGAGTGTGCAAGTCCCGAGCCCCCGGGGGCTCTGACACAGCCACTTCAGAACTCCCCGCTTCGGCAACCTGACTTCCTGATCTCAACCCCCTCAGGTTAGTCCCTATATCCATTTGTTATCCTTTAGAGCAGGGGTGGGGAACCCTTCCCCCCCACCCCCCCGCAAAGGGCCATTGGGATATTTATAACATCATTCGGGGGCCCTACAAAATCATCAAGTTAAAAATGAGCCTGTTCTTTTGGTCAGACATTTAATTAACTCACCCCTAATGCCTTGGCAGGGCCAGGCCAAATGATTTCGCGGGCCTTATACAGCCCAAGGGCCGGACGTTCCCCACCCCTGGCTTAGACTGTAGAAATGAGTTCCCCTGCCTCCTGGCCATGCATCGCGCGTGCACAACACTGAGAGGCCGGCGGGAAATGTATTAGAATCCAGAGAAATGCACTGAGCTGCACCCGGGCACGGCGGGGAGATGAAGCCAGCAGGGATGCGCGTGCCACACAAGCGAGCTGTGAGAACACATGTCTTTTAGCATAAAAAGCCAAAATGAAAACACAACCGGCGGGGGTGGGGGGGCTTTTTTGGTGACAAAGGAACTCCAACTTACTCTGCACACATACTGGCTCCGTGCCCCAGGCGAGAAAGTCTGGGAGCGGACGATGGTGCCGCTGCGGACGAAAGGCGAGGCGCGGGCCCTGCGGCTGGGCCTCTCCTTCGGCAGGCTCGCTAGTTCTTCTGGGAACAGGTCTTCTGTGTTGGTTTCCTTATCCACCTGGACAGTGATTCGTTTATTACCACGACTTTTCTAGAACATAGCAATGAACTTTGCAGGCACAACCACGTCCTTGCCTTCTCCGCTTGGAGCTCTCGCAGGCATTTCACGTTTCACACATCCAACCCGGAATGTCTGCTATCTGCCAGCCCCTCCTCCTCTGACAAGGATCCCTATTTGCCCTTTTTCATGCAAAAAAAGTATCTGTTTCACCCGGCCGTTGTGGCTCGGTGGTTGAACGTTGACCTATGAACCAGGAGGTCATGGCTCCATTCCTGGTCAAGGCATGTGCCCGGGCTGCGGGCTTGATCCCCAGTGTGGGGCATGCAGGAGACAGCCAATCAATGATTCTCTATCATCAATGATGTTTCTATTTCTCTCTCTCTCCGTTCCTCTCTGAAATCAATCTATATATATATAAAAGCCTAAGCGACCGTTCAACGGTTCGACTGGTAGCTATGACACGTACTGACCACCAGGGGGCAGATGCTCAACACACAGGCATGGAAACATGGAACAGACTGATGAATCTCAGAGGGAAGTGGGGAGGGAAGAGAGGGGAGAGCGACAAGAGATTAACCAAAGATCTTATATGCATACTAGAGGCCCAGTGCATGTGCACTGGTAGGGTCCCTCGGCCTGGCCTGCAGGGATCGGGCCCAAACCGGCAGTCCAACATCCCCCAAGGGGTTCCAATTGTGAGAGGGAGCAGGCCAGGCTGAGGGACCCTACCGGTGCACAAAGCTGTGCACCAGGCATCTAGTAAAAACATAATACTATCATAACAAATCAACAAACGACAAGTGCTGGTGAGGATGTGGAGAAAAAGGAACCCTCGTGCACTGCTGGTGGGAATGCAGACTGGTGCAGTCACTGTGGAGAACAGTATGGAGTTTCCTCAAAAAACTAAAAACGGAACTCCCATTTGACCCAGTGATCCCACTTCTAGGAATATATCCCAAGAAACTATAAACACCAATCAGAAAGGATATATGCACCCCTATGTTCATAGCAGCACAATTCACCATAGCTAAGATTTGGAAACAGCCTAAGTGCCCATCAGCAGATGAGTGGATTAGAAAACTGTGGTACATCTACACAATGGAATACTACCCTGCGGTAAAAAAAAAAAAAAAAAAAAAAAAAAGGAGTTCTTACCATTTGCAACAGCATGGATGGAACTGGAGCGCATTATGCTAAGCGAAATAAGCCAGTCAGAGAAAGATAAATATCACATGATCTCACTCATTTGTGGATTATAATGAACAACATAAACTGATGAACAAAAACAGATCCAGAGACAGAGAAGCATTGATCAGACCGTCAAACCTCAGAGGGAAGGTAGGGGAGGGTGGGGCTAAGGGGGAGAGATCAACCAAAGGACTTGTATGCAAGTATATAAGCCCAACCAATGGACACAGACAACAGAGGGGTGAGGGCATGAGTGTGTGGGGGGTAATGGGGGGATAAGGACAAATATGTAATACCTTAATCAATAAAGAAATTAAAAGTTAAAAAAAATTAAAAATTTTTAGAAAGTCCCCTGTCCTCCTGGGCCCTGCTCTCTCTCACACACTCTGTATCGGATCCAGGATCAAATCCTCTTGGCTCCATATTCAAGATTATGCATGTTCTGACCCCCTGTCACCAACCCATCTGGGGTACCGTGGTCTTGCGCCCAATTGGTGCTGTAGGTGTCTCACCCATCTCCCCGATTCCATGCCCGTCCCCACCCTTGAATCTCCTCTCAACACCCAGGGGATCCCGCTGAAACTGAAGCCAGATGCAGCCACTCCTCTCCTAAGAGTGTACCCGAGAGACCGGAGAATAGGAATTCGCTGCTGAGAAAGGAGAGGGCGGCTAAGCTGCCCCAACCTGAGCAGTAACCAAGGGAACACGGCAAATTCCTGAGCCAGGCCTTCCGTGGAGCTAGTCACGTACACTCCCTACCAGTCCAATTACAAAGATAAATGATTATGGAAGGCAGGCTCTGTTCTTTCTACATCCTGATAAAGGTTTCAAAATAATTGCTTCCAGACCCATTCCCATGACTCCCTGACTCCCTGAGTCCAGATACGTGCTGACCCTCCCTTATCTGTGCATTCCCTCCCGGCGGCGCTGTTTCCTTGCACGTATGGAACTCATGAAGCTCTCTGCGTCCTCCCACCTATAAAAGCCCCCCACTCACTCGCCTGCAGCCGGCCCCGGGCTTCGGGCTTCTTGGGCTCTGCTCTCGGGCATGTCCTCAGTTGGGCCCACATAAAGAAGTCTTTTCTGAAATCTACAAAGGTCACGTCCTCTTCTCACTGACAAAACAAGTACTTGCGCACGCATGTTCGCAGCAGCGTTACTGAACTAGCCGAGAGGTGGAAACAGTCCCCACAGCACGGAGGACGGAGGCAGAGATACAGGAAACGTGGCGGCCGAGCAAGGGACAGTCCCCAGCCGCGGGAAGGGCTGACGGCCCCACAGACCTACGGCGCGGATGAACCCTGAAGGCACTGGGCTGAGAGAAGCCAGACCCAACGGACACGTATCGTCTGATTCCATTTACACGAACAGTCCAGAACTGGCAGACCCACGGAGACGGGAAGCTCGCTGGTGTGGCCAGGGGCTGGGGGTGGGAATGGGGAGTGATGCCCAGGGGTATGGGGTTCACTTTGGGGTGACAAGAGTGCTGGAACCAGACAAAGATGGTGGCCGTACAACACTGTGAACACACTCAATGCCAGTGAACTGTTCAATTCGTCTTATGTGAATTTCATGTCAATAAATGACTTTAGGAAAATAATCAACAAAAAAACCTGAAGTTAGATCATGTCAACTCTGGGCTCAAACCATCCATCAGTTTCCCTGTCTCGGGAAAAAGGGAATGTGCTGAGTGGGCCCTCCATGACCTGTCCCCTTCACTTCCTGTCCTCAGCTCAAGGTCCCTTCTTCCACCCCCCAGGCCAGGCCAGCGCCTGCGCTTCCTCTACCCGACACCCTTCGCCAGCCCGACGCAAGGCTCCAGGCCTCCCTTAAGGCCTCTGCTCAAAGATCGCCTTCTCCAGGAGGCTGCCGCGGCCTTTCTTTCTTGTTCATTGGAAGAAACACATACCATTTCTCAGTGTACAGTTCAGGAGTGTCAAATATACTCACATTGCTGTGGAACTGATCTCTAAAACTTTCCATCTTCCCAAACGGAAACGCTGTCCTCACTGAACACCCACTCCCCACTCCCCTCCCCCGGCCCCTGGCCCCCACCACCTACTTCCCCTCTCTATGAGTCTACTCTCGGCCCCTCAGGTTAGTGCAGTCATACAGTCAGTACGTGTCCTCTTCTGACTGGCTTATTTCACTTAGCACAGTGTCTTTGAGGGTCATCCATGTGTAGCATGTGGCGTGCTTTCCTTTTTAAGGCTAATGCTTTATTGCACACATACACCACATCTTCTTTATCCATCCACCCATCAGTGCACACTTGGGTTGGTTCCACCTCTTGGCTACTGTAAATAACGCTGCTGTGAACACAGGTGTGCAAATATCTCGTGGAGACCTGCTTTCAGTTGTTTGGATGTATATCCAATCGTGGGATTGCTCGGTCATGTGGAGTTCTGTTTAATTTTTTGCGGAACCTCCACACTGTTTTCCATAGTGGCTACACCATTTTACAATCCTGACCTTTCTAAAATGTAAATGCAAATTTGCATTTCTAAACATCAGTCCTTTCTAAGATGGTAAATCTTTCAGAAACGTAAAGCCCGCGTCTCTACCATCTCCTCGTGCAGTAGCGCCTTTGATCCTCAAACACCGATTTCACTGGTTGCCCTCTCTGGTGCCTGCCTCCTCCAGGGCAGGACTTCCGGTTTCTGCGCTGCTGCCTCTGTGATGCCCAGCAGCTGCCCACACACACGTGGAGGGAGAGAACGCAAACGCGGTGAGGACCCAACTATCAGGGCATCTAGGTGAAGGCATATGGGTCTTCGTTGTATTAGTCTCGCAACTTTTCCATAGATTGGAAGTGATTTAAAATGACAAGTTGACTCAGCCGGCAGGGCTCAGTGGTTGAGCATCGACCAATGAACCAGGAGGTCACAGTTTGATTCCTGGTCAGGGCACATGCCCGGGTTGTGGGCTCGATCCCCAGTAGGGGCCGTGCAGGAGGCAGCCAATCCATGATTCTCTCTCATCATGGATGTTTCTCTCTCTCTCTCCCTCTCCCTTCCTCTTTGAAATCAATAAAAATCTATTAAAAGAAAAAAAAAGAGAAGTTGGAGGAGTGGGACACACCTACTAGCCTCCCACAGCCACGCCCTGGGATCTGGGCCAACGCTTTCGAAGGGGTTCCGAAGTCAGCCGAGCCCCCATCTCCTCGGAGGTGGCGGCGCATGCGCTGTGGCCTGGGAAGCTCCGAGGGGGCGGGCTTCACTTCTCTCGGTGTTTGTGTTGGGAGTAAGGTCGGGTGCATGGTGATAAGATGTTTTGATGAGCTGAACAGTTTGGGAACAAAGTTTCCATAGAGCCTTGATGCGGCACCTCCCAGCTGCACCGCTTCCCTTAGACATTTGTCCCCGCAAGCCTGAAAGGTGGCCTCCCTGAAGACGTGGCGATGGCCACAACTAAGATCAGGTGAGCAGAGGGGGCAAAAGGACGCCCCGCTGTTCCTGACATCCCGAAGGGAGAAGAGCAAGTGTCCAAAACCGCGAGTCCCCCTCCACGCCCCCAACAGCCTACACTGTGGGAGGCCCTGGAGATGGGACGGGGTCATCCCCAGACGGCAGGTGAAGGAGTGGAAGTCAACCCTTTTCACATCTAGTTGCCTTCTTTCTCATTTGAATTTCACACACATTCCTAAGGGCCCGGTCACTGAGCTGAAGCCAGTCCCGGCTTTCCCTCGGCTCTCAGTGAAACAGCGCCTTCCCTTTCGCCCCTAGTCCAGCAGCACATTCCTCATGGTCACCAGGGCTGTCACTCAGTCACCTGTGTCATTCTGCTGCTGCGTCTGAGCCTGTCAGCTTCGGTTGCCTTGGCCCTCTCCCCACCCGTTCTCTTGGTTTCACCTGAAGGGTGTGGGGCGCACCCGCTGTCCGCCGGGCGCTGTTTGGCAAAGCCTCGGGCATTCCTGACAACCCCTCATCCCTTCTGCTTACCTTCGGAGGAGGGGGCTGGCGCTTCTCGGGGTGGTAAGGATCTGCCTGGCCCGCGATCGGGTGTCCGTGGATGGGGTCCACGCCGCTGCAGCAGGGCTCCGGGTGCGGGGGGCTGGTCTGGGTGTAGCTGCTGCAGCCGCTGTCCACCGAGTCGGCCTGCCAGCTCCTGGAGGCGGACATGGCACAAGCGCACGGAACGCTCACCCCAGGGCGGTCCCTGCTGCCTTCGGGGCGCAGCAGCAGAGACCCAGGACTGGCTTCCTTATAAAAGTGCACTCACGGCTTCCAGGGGAGATAATGCCACAAGGCCTTTCGTTAAGAGGCTCTGTCTGCCTTTATCACCCAACTGCACCCCGTGAACATGCCAGAATCCGCAGCCCCTCCCCAGGCCCCTCCCAGCTTCCTGCCTGGCCCCCAACACTGCGCTCCCCTCAGCCACGCACCGCCCTCCGTAAAAGACATTCCTCTCACATAAAGCCAGGGAGAGCGACAGGAGGCACGGGAAGCTCTGGAAGGGGGGTGCTCTGTGTGGAAAACCGTGGAGGGGAAGCCACGTGCGCGCCTCTGGGAAGGATGGGACAGAAGCCGATTCACGAGCTGCTGGGCATCTGAACGGTGGCTCTGTGCAGGCGGCGCTGGACCGCGCCGAGGGCTCCCCCGCAGGCCGCTTCCGGCAAAGCGGAAGAGCCATCACGAGGTTCCTCCTGGATGAAATGCCCAGACCGCCGGCCGGCGCATCAGCGGCCGCAGGGGCTGGGGAAGGGGGTACGCTGACTGCTAATGGGTGTGGGGTTTCTTTCTGGCCCGATGAAAACTGATTGTGGTGATGGTGGCGCAACTCTGAGACTGTACTCCAAACCACCGGATTGTCCACTTTAAATGGCTGAATTGTACGGCAGGTAGATTATATCTCAATACAGCTGTTCAAAGACTTAAAGGGACCGTACTGCATTCACTGCTGGCAGAGCAGAGTCACTCAATAGTCGCGCTCTTTAAGAGAAACCCCGGAACAGAAGGGGAAGGGGAAAGCCTTCACGGAGAGCAGGGGCAGGGGTCACAGTCCTGCCCGAGCTCAGCATTCAGTTCCCCCCGAGAATCGGCTTCTCCGGAGGATCGCCCAGCATTTGCTACACAGTGTGGATGAGCAAAGCAACTTGTTCCCAGAGCCACAGCCGACCGACACCGACACAGCCACGCCTCGCCCCTCCCTGCCACTTCCCAGCAGCCTCACCGCTCGGACCGGGCCTCGGTCTGCTCCTCCTTCCGTTCCATCTCCTCCGTGTACTCCAGCTTCACACGCTCCTCGGCCAGCTCTCTCTCCACTGCCTGCAGCTGGGCCGTGGTTCTGGCCAGCAGCACCGTCACCGCGTCCTGGGGGAGGACAGGGCCATGTCTGAGAACCAGCTCAGACCGACAGGCGTGGCGCCCAGCCCTCACTGAGGCCCTTCCTCCCGGCGGGTGGCCGCCCTCGGCTGCTCTCCCCAGTGTTGGTAGCAGGCTTCCTGTAGCTGAAGGTTCACGGTTAAACACAACCCATGTGCCATTCACGATCATGAACGTGTTCGTGTTCAAAACACTATCGTGCCTGGCCGGCGTGGCTCAGTGGTTGAGCATCAATCCATGAACCAGAAGTTCACGGTTCGATTCCCGGTCAGGGCACAGGCCCGGGTTGCGGGCTCCATCCCCAGTAGGGGGCGTGCAGGAGGCAGGCGATCCATGATTCTCTCATCATGGGTGTTTCTCTCTCTCCCTCTCCCTTCCTCTCTCTCTAAAAATCAATTTAAACTATTTTTTAAAAAGACACTATCATGAATAGCCATGCACACCGAGACATTCCATTTCTATGATTTCCCTTAAACTGCGGCTTCTGAGAGGCCCTCCCCTGATAACAGCCCGTCTCAAGCCAGGAGGCGGAGGGAGCTGCTCTGTAGCCAGGCACGCACCGTCTTCCCAGCGGCAGCGGCCGCGGCAGTGGCGGCAGCGGCGGCGGCGGCGGCGGTGGGCACGGGGTCCCGGGCACCGCTCTTCTCGGCCCGCTGGCTCTCCTTCAGCCGGGGCGGCTCGGGGCTGGTGAACACCTGCACCGCGTACCAGCGCAGTTGCATCTCACTCGGGCCGCTGCAGTTGGCCAAGTTAATCTGAGCGATGCCCTGCGCGGTGTTCAAAAGAAACAGAACAGGCAGTGAGTGATTTCCACTAAAACACCAACACGAATCTTCTGGAACATCCAGGTCACCCCAATCCTGACCAGAGAGGAGGTCAGATGTTTCACCCCATTCAAAGGGCTGCAATCAAATGAGAGCGGTTACAGAAGATCCTAATAGGGACTGGGACAGCTCCTCCATTGCTTGTTCAGCCCAATCAGAAAGCACCAGAAGCCCGGCCCGTGTGGCTCAGTGGTTGAGCATCAATCTAGGAACCAGGAGGTCATGGTTCCAGGGCACATGGCCAGGTTGCGGGCTCGATCCCCAGTAGGGGGCGTGCAGGAGGCAGCTGATCCATGATTCTCTCTCCTCATTGACATTTCTCTCTCTCTCCTCCTTCCTCTCTGAAATCATTAGAAATATTTTTTTAAAGAAAGCTAGAAGGGGAGCAGGGGCTGAGAATGGCCACCCTGGAGTGCTGGGTCGGGCTCAGGGTCTGCCGCTTGTGGAGCAGCTGATGACCTCAGGGATTTCGGAAACCAGAGAGACCTGGCTGACCTCTCCAATCGCTAATTCTGCTGCTGTGGGGCCAGGAACAAAGGGCACTATTCCAGCCTTGGACAGAAAGCACTCTGGCCGCAAGCCCTGGGCGGGCGGTGGGTGGCCCGGGCCTGGCGGCGGACTGCCCGGTATAATATAGGGCATCCAGGTGAATCTGACTTCCAAATAAGCACCGGTTTTTTAGGTATCAGCATGTCCCAAATCCTGTATGGAACATACCAGTACTCAAAAGGTATCTACAGTTTCCTTGAAATCCAAATTTAATGGACCACCCTATGTTCTTATTTGCCAACCCGACTTAGTTCCCTCGACTAAAAATGGGAATAATTTAAATGCTGTCAAGTAGGAGCTCTGCAAGTGTTATTTGAGAGAATGTATAAAACACGTGACAGCACAGCTGGTTTGTCGTCCCTTTCTGTCCTCCCAGTTACAGAGACCCTTAACAGGACAACGTCTAAGCAACCCATCACAGGAAACCAGAAGGAGGGGACAGAGAGGAAAGAAGGGAGGGAGACAGGGGAAGGAATGAAGGGAGGGAGAGAGGGTGACAAAGGCAAAGCAGAGAGAGAGAAAAGCAGAGAGAAAAGAAAGGAAGATAGACAAAGACTAAGAAAGAAACAGAGAAGAACAAAAGACGAAGGATGAAGAAAGAATGGCACACAAAGAAAGAAAGCATGAGGGAAAAACAAAGGAAGGAGGGAAGCAGGGAAGGGAGAAGACGGGGGGGGGGGGGTGGCGGGGGGGGGGGTGGCGGGGGAGAGCTTGCGCATGCGCAGGCCATACCAGCAGTTCTTCCTGCAGCTGCGGATTCACTGAACACACATATAATTGAAGGGACTTCAACGTCAACATGCTTGAGTGCACAGGGATTCTGAAAACGTCATTAAATACCAGGGGGGCCTGGAATTCCACCGCCTTGGAGCAGTAAGTGTCTGGTGTGCTGGAGTCCAGTGACGGCAAGTAGACGCGGACGTGTCTGGAAGCAGAGAGGAGAGAAGCACAGAGTCAGGCTACTGAGGGTGCGCACGATTCACGCACAGACACGTGTTCCACTCTTTGGACGCCCGTGGGTGGCAATGCCAGGTCTTCCAGACAAAGTCCTTTTCTCAGCTAAGGGGGAGCCCAGGGAACTTACATGCCCGGGAGGTTAGGGAAAAGCCACACACACAGAGAAAGACTTTAGCTGGGCCCGTGTGGCTCAGTGGTTGAGCATCAGCCTATGAACCAGGAGGTCCCAGTTGGATTCCCGGTCAGGGCACATGCCTAGGTTGCGGGCCAGTAGGGGGCGTGCAGGAGGCAGACGATCCATGATTCTCTCTCATCATTGATGCCTCTCTCTCTCTCTCTTCCCACCCCCTCTCTGAAATCAATAAAATTATATTAAAAAAACAAGAGGAAGACTTCCGAGGCAGTAGCCAGGACTTGAGAGGAGTCAGTGGAGGCTCCGCCCACCGGGCCTGGGCGTGGGGTGTCCTGCCATGTCCACCCCAGCATGGCAGTCAGCACACAGGGGAGGCTCAAACACTGGTGACCACGCGAAGTCCCCAGGGGTGAGCAAGTCCCAGGGAGCCCTCAGCCACCTCCACGGGCACATCAGCTCACAGAGCTGAGTGTGGCTTCGTCACCACCCAGCCCAGTGACCCCGGTGGGTGTTCTAGGCCCAACGCGGCCAATGAGGAGCACTTGGCCCTTTGTTAGTGTCGCTGCAGCACAAGCAGCCCGGCTCCATGAACTTCATCTCCTTCGCACAACAAAGCACTCTTCCCAGAACTGACAGCCCCGCTTTCCGAACCGGACTCCCTGGTTTGACTGTCAGTTCGGCTTCTTACATCTTGCAGTCCTCCTTCACGGCCAGCCCCGCGAGGTTCTTCAGCTGGAGCACTTTCACGAGGAGACACTCACTGCCACTGTCGTGCCTGGAAAATAACACAGCAATTCTTCAGCCACACGTGCCCTCGGTGTACAAATGCTCTGGCTGAACTACAGCAGCGGCCCCCAAGGGAGGGCGATCCTGCCGCACCCCACCCCGGGGGGCGTGTGCAATGTCTGGAGATAGTTTATACTGTCCGGACTGGGGAGGGGCGCCCCGACAGCTAGTGGGTGGAGACCAGAGATGCTGCTCAGCGCCCTACAGCGCACAGCACGGCCCCCATAACAAAGAAGGGTCCGGTCCCCAGTGTCACTGGTGCCAATGCTGAGAAATACTCCACTGAAATGACAAGAGCGAGCGAAAGGAAACCTGGGGCCTGCATGCCCCGCCTTGTTGGTCTGAACTCCATTGAAACTAATTAGAAACCAAAAAGCCATGTTTGCAAACCAGCTGGTCCCTCGCTCTGGGGAGCAGGGGCAGGCCTGCTGCCTGTGCCAGACTGAACCAACTCGGCGCCAGCATGCCAGAGGACTCTCCCAAGAGCCCACCTTGCCGGGGGCTTCTGGTGCCCCTGCGTGATGGCCCCGAAGCCCCGGCTGCACAAGGTGCCAGTTCCCAGCTCTGACTCTCAGTGCTCCTTCCCGCCACCTGTGTCCCTCACCGGGACCGCTGCAGCGGGCTCGGGGTATCCGGATGGGTGAGCAGCCCCCTATCGCCGGGTCCCTCTGTCCTTCTGGCCTGAGCGTGGGGTGTGAGTGGCCAGGTGGCCCCAATCTACAGAGCATCGCTACAGCACCAGGAAGGAGCCCGCCGTACTCACCAATAGCCCACGTGGATCTGCGGCCCTTCCATGGCGCGAGTGTCTCCCTGTGCGGGCTCCTCGGCATCTTCGGTCCTGAGCACAAGCGGGAAGTCACAGGGTTAGTGCCCAGGCACTGCTGAGCACAGCCTTCGCGCAAGCTCTCGCTGGTCAGGGGTGCTTGGTACTGAGAGCAGCTTTTATTCAATTGCGACAGAAGCCCTGGCCGGGGTGGCTCTGTGGCTAGAGCGTCAGCCTGCGGACTGAAAGGTCCTGGCTTCGATTCTGGCCAAGGGCATGTACCTCAGTTGCAGGCTCAATCCCCAGCCCTGGTCGGGGCCCCTGCGGGAGGCAACCCATCGATGTGTCTCTCTCACATCGATGTTCCTCTCTCTCTGCCTCTCCTCCTCCCTTCCCCTCTCTCTGAAAATCAATGGGAAAATACCCTCAAGTGAGGAGCAACAACAAACATGGCGGCATAATAAACTCTTCAGTGACTGCAGGGCGCAGCAGTCCCCGGGGCCACGCCGCATCTCACTGGGTACCTGCCCGTGAACTGCTGTTTCAGAATAGAACTTTGCGTACCTTTCAAAGACACATGTGACATTCAGGGCAAAGCTCAAACGTGAACTTCCGAAACGTTAACAGCAAGTGAGATGAAACCATGGCGGGAAGGGAACCAAGGAAAAATAGGTCCCCGGAGGGATCCTCCTTTCCAGCTCCACGGGGCTGAAGCCTGAAAGCCCCCAGGGCCAGAGAGAGCGGTCGCCCTAGAACCACAGGACGAGGCCCAGCCTCCAAACGCCTCTGAAGCCAGACTCTTCCGTGCAGGTTGCGAAGGCCCACCCTCCAACCTGGAGAGAAGCCAGAAAAAAGAAGCGCCCCTCGCCCTGCCCTCGCCCTGGCCGGTGTTTCTCAGTGGTTAGAGCATTGGCCTGAGCACGGAAAGGTCATGGGTTCAATTCAGGTCAAGGGCAAGTACCTCGGTTGCGGATTCAATCTTGGGCCATAGTCAGGGTGCATGGGAGAGGCAACAAATCAATGCCTCTCTCTCATATAGATGTTTCTCGCTCTCTACCCCTCCCCCTCCCTTCCACTCTCTCTTAAAAAAAAATCAGTGGGAAAAATATCTTTGGGTGAGGATGCACAACACCAAGGCCCAGGATGTGGGAGGCCCCATATGGGTCCCTTTCGTGCTGAGCGGCCGCGCTGCGGGACGGCTGCGGAGGGAGCAGGAGGGAAGGTCAGCTTCTAACCTTTTGGCTGGAGGTTCAAATACGCCGCTGTCGGTGGCCAGGGAGTAGTCCGACAGGCACGCGGACACGCGGCGCCCTCTCCTCTCCAGCCTCCTGGCGCCGTCTTCTCGAAGAGTCACTGCTACAAACGAGAGCCATGCGGGGTCAGGAGACAGCTCGGGGGACGGGACCACGGTGCCCAGGAACGCACCCCGAGTGCCAGCCCAGACACGGTTACTGCGTCCCAGAGACACGCCGCCGCGTGCGTGCATGTGTTTCAATACGCTGCACGCGACTTGTTTTTAAACGAAAAATCGAAGCAATCGACTTCTGGCTACTTCTGTAAAAGCTCCTTGAACTGTTGTAAGTCTCCTGTCACCTCCCAAGTGAGGGCAGAGGACATGTGAGGGCAGTGGAGCCCCTTCGCACTGCGCGTGAGAGACTGTCGCACTCATGGAGGACGTGTCACCCCGAACGCGGACAGCGGCTGCCCTGGCCGACTGGGTGCGCATTTTTCACTTCCTTCTTTATGCTGTTCGGTATTTTCCGTATTTTCTACAATAAACATGTGCTAGCGTTTCATAACCAGAAAACAACATTTTAAAAAAGTACCCAAATAAACCCTAACAAAGGTAATGACTTTCGAGTGAGAGAACACTGTAGGATGCGGACTCAGCCTTTGAAAACGTGCCCTTGAACCCTGTCCATCAAGCCGCAGTGGCCTCCCCGCCCCTCCCATCCCCCCCTCCCCACCCGGCAGCCCAGCTCCGCGTCCAGAAGCGCTGTCCTGGGGTTAGGACGCTCCCGTTCCTGGGCAGCTTGCTTTTGTCTCCTATCTAAGTTACTCAAGAGCCAAAGGTGACCACGGCATCTTCCCTTTCACCATTTCCTCAGCTGGCCCGTCCTTCCCTCTTAGCACCAAGTGCCTTTTAGCAAAACCAATTAGCCCGGCCGGCGTGGCTCAGGGGTTGAGCGTCGACCTATGTACCAGGTCAGGGTTCCATTTCCAGTCAGGGCACATGCCCGGGTTGCGGGCCTGATCCCCAGTGGGGGGCGTGTAGCAGGCAGCTGATCTATGATTCTCTCTCATCATGGATGTTTCTCTCTCTCCCCCTCTCCCTTCCTCTCTGAAATCAATAATAAAAATATATTAAAAAATAAGATAAAAATAGGCCCATCACGTTCCTGCCGCACGTGTGAACGTGTCCCAGGCCCCCACTGGGCCTCGCCCTGCCGTGGGGACGCCTCCTGCTAATAACGCTGGCCCTCTGCGTCTCTGTGCTTTTCTTCTGCCATCTAAGCTCTGGAAACTGAGAATCTAGGCAGCTGCCCACCTCCAACTTGAGGGAAATGACAAGTTCACCTATGACCATCTCCCTTTCCAACCAAATTACGGTCCACACACCAATGAAATCCAAACATGTTCAACCACACACAGAACAGAGGGGCCGTGGTCTCAACTGCAGCCGGGAGCTGGCCTTCCAGAGGCTCCCCCGGGCCGGGCCAGAAGCCGCCCCCGTTCCCGCGGTGGCTGGAGCCACTGACTCACACCGTAGCTCAGCGTTCCCAAGTCCGGCTCTTGTCGTCACCCCTGCCATCTGGAAGGACAGAGTCCCCGGCTCTGAATTGCAGGTGGAACCCTCCGGTTTAATGCATGGATCCCAGCACACGAAAACTGCTATTGCCACTCCCAGCCCTGACGCTCGGCAGGGCTCCGACATGGCCTTCCGTTCCTTTGAGGCAGGGGTGGGGAACCTTTTCCTGCCAAGGGCCACGGGGAGATTTGTAACATCATTCTCGGGCCCTACAAAATCATCACCTTAAACATGAGCCTGCTCTATCTGGTCAGACATTGAATGAGCCCAAGGGCCGGACGTTCCCACCCCTGCTTTAAGGGAGTAACACCGCGCTATAAGCACTTCCAGTAACGCTGATGGTGCGACTCGGACAAGTTTCTCTCTCGTTGCAAGGCGGATGAAGAAACAAAGGAAATGAAGGAATTACTCCTCAGTGACACCAGGCTCAGCCACTGAAACATGGAGCAACCGGGAGCAGAGCTGGCGGCAGGAATGCGGTGAGCAGTTGCCCTGGGTGAGAAGAGAGCGCACGGCAGCCCCCGCCCGTCGGACCCAGCAGCCCGCTGTCAGGCTGCAAGGCAACAGATGCGCAGCGAGATGGGCCAGGGGAGCAATGCCCCTGAGGTCAGGGATAAACCATCTTCCGAACTGTCATTTTCTAGATTTCACCTTTTCATCATTAAAGACAGAGAGACAGACAGACAGACAGACACTGAGACCTAAGGACATCAACACTACTTGACAAAAAGAAGAGATAATGAAGATCACTGTGAGCAAAGCTGCCACTTAGCATATTAAAATCATGAAAGCCATTAAAAATCTGGGGGAGCCCAGCTGGTGTGGTTCACTGGTTGAGCATCGACCCATGAACCAGGAGGTCAGGGTTCAATTCCTGGTCAGGACACAGGCCCAGGTCGTGGGCTCGGTCCCGTGGGGGGCGTGCAGGAGGCAGCCGATCCATGATTCTCTCTCATCATTGATGTTTCTTTCTCTCTCTCTCCCCCTTCCTCTCTCTGAAGTCAATTTAAAAAAGCATTAAAAATGTATATATATAAATTATATTTTTTAAAAAGTCTGGGGGGAAATATATAGAAGAATAAAGACTTCAAGCTTTTAGAAAAGTTCTTCCTTACACAACTTTAGTAGGCATGGATATTAATGCTGAAATCATAATCATGGCAATGGCTGAACTTCATGAAAGTACAACTATGAGCTGTGCCCCTTGCCCACCCCCCGAGCATCCTGAGTACACGGGTTCACTGGATGAAGATGTGCCACAGCCTGACCAACAAGGTGAGTGAAGGAGAATCCAAGGTCACTTACAGTGAGCGCTTCTGTCGTGTCGCATGAGAAAGAGATAAAAAAGAGCACAAAGTGAAAAAACGGCAGAATTTGGGCCAACAATTTTAAACAAAGTATGAATATAATAAAAACATCAAGGAACAGATAAGCAAAGTCAAGGAGTTCATGGATTTAGATTAGCAAATGCCAATGGGAAAGAAAAAATGGAAAGTATTTCAAAATGATGACACATTGGACTTCTGAAATTCAGGGAAGATAACACTGTAGCAAAAATGTAAAAAATGTTACAGATTACAATCTGTTGCCGTACTTCTCTGTACCACCTTGTTCCTTCAAACTAGTTTGAAACGTAACAGAAGATATTATATCCTCGGGCTTGCCTTGTATGCTTGGGCAATTTTGAATTTTATCTTCCTAAAATTTTATCTAACTAAAGCTTGTTTGAGGTCAAACTTAGACTGTACCTAGCGAGACTGGCACGGAAAGTCAGAGGGAGCTATGTGGCCTTGGGTTTCAGAAATGAAGGGCAGGGTAACATAACGAGTGCTAAGGTCCTCGCCAACTCTGCGAAGCGACAATGACTCTGGGATCGGGCATGACCACAAGCACCAAGGGAAGCAAGGAGTCACCCCGTGTCCTTGCCTGAAACTGGTTACCCAGCCCAGCCCTCTGGGGGCACCCACCAGGACCCATTCACTGGGTCATTTCTAATTTGTAAGGATCTGTCAACTGACAGTGTTATGCAGGAATACACCACCAGGTGGCAGTATCTGACCACAGCATGAGCAACAACCTTTCGGTCTAAGCTTGAAGCATTGTAATGTAGGCCACAAAGGGGAAGGGAAGAACTAAGAAATCAGAATCAGACATTAAGTCAGCTCTTCTCTTTCCCACCCTGTCTTTCCCCTGACCCAGAAGGGCCCTTGGGCCTCGTGTGGACCCCTGCAGAATGAGGCTGATACTCTCATGTCTCAGCCTTTAAAGAGGAGTTGGCATGGGGGCAGGGGCACTGAGACAGTAAGCTTCAGCAACAACAGATGTGCACTTCAGTCCTTATTTTGAATTTTCTTTTGGAAATGAAAGGAGTAAACACGGAGCCCTGAACCTGTGATTATAAAGAACAACAAAGCGCCTGAAGATCACCTGTTTATGTAAATGACAGAAACAGTGTGTCTGGGGATAGGAGAGGTGTGTTTGCAAACACCGAGGGGAAGATAAAATGATAGATGCCAAAAAGCCCTGGGGCTACCTCAGAACAGAATGAGTCTCTGGTTAAATATGTAAGAGTTAACAGAGGCTATTGTTTTATACTAGAGGCCCGGTGCATGGATTTGTGCACATTGAAAGGAAATTAATTAGAAGGTGGCTGGTGGGGCAGGACAGGGCGAGATGGGCTGGACACACCGTGGAGCTAACCTCCCACGGTCCCTCCCCAGCCGGCCGCACCTGGGGTGGTGCCAGGGCTCGAAGGGCGTCTGCAGAGTGAGTGGGGTCCCTCTGGCAGGTGGCGTCCCTCAGCCTGGCCTGTGGGGATCAGGCCCAAACTGGCAGTCCAACATCCCCCGAGGGGTCCCAGAGTGCAAGAGGGCACTCTACCAAGCTGCTGTCACTAATCTGCCCCCTGTGGGCAGTGTACATCATAGCTACCAGCCAGTCGGCCGGTCAGCTGGTTCCTTAGGCTTTTATATATATAGATGTATATATAGTAACCAGCATGGTTATGTGCAAAAAAACTCATGGGTAGAATGGTGGTGAATGGAAGAGCCCATAAAGATCACCTCATTCAAAGGCAGGGAAGCTACGACTCAGCCACATCCAGGGATGTGCTCAAAGTCACCCACCTGGCAAGTCCACCAGGCAGGGCTCAGAAGCCGGGTCTCTGAGCTGCCAGTAGGAGGCTGTTCCCACAACACCGCCTGGTTCTGTATTCACGTTTGATTTCTACCCTTTGCTGCTAAACTACTCAACAGTATGCGGCCAGGACCTCGGCCTCAGCACTACTGCTGTCTGGGCTGGACCACTCTCTCTCCGTGGTGGGGCGCCCCGCACTGCAGGGCTGAGCCACAGCCTGGTCTCCGCCCACTGGCTGCCAGCAGCACCTCCCGCCAGGAGCTGCATTACCAGCGACTGAATGGCTGAAGCTCCCTGTGGCTCCGTTTCCCGGTTTGAATTCCACCAGAGAAATGGATCTGGGAGAAATGACGGCTGCTCACCGGCACAGCTTTTGAAATGATGCCAATTATTTTCACTCCACTCTCGACAGAACTACAGCCTTGAAAACTACAAGGACGCAGGATGAGGAGATGAAGTCATTAAGACAAGGGAAGTAGAGATTTCCCTGCGGCTGGGCCCCGGCACCTCTCTATCTGCCTCTGAATGTAGAAGCCTGTGTGGCTCTTCTCGTCTTCAGCGATTGAGCACATCCTGACAACAAGCCGAACGCCTGGGCAAGACTCCTTTGCCAATTTCAATGGCCTTTCCAGGACAGAGCGGGAAGGCCCCATGTGACAGCGGGCCTGCGCCCCTCCGTGTCCTCTCAACGGTCCCGAACTTAAAGCTCGCTGTCACTGAAGAGTCATCGTGCCCTCACACACGATTTCTTCCCTGAATCAGAAGCCTTCCTCCCAGGGCCCGGGAGACCCCCAGGACGTGTCCATACTTACTTGTACCAGTGGCGATGGCTGCCACTTGGGGTCCTCGCTCGCGAGGTCCTTCCCCATCCCCAGGGAATGCATTCGGCGGCGGCAGGGACGCTGCGCCCTGCAAGTCTTCCTCTCCCAGAGCCGAGGCCTGAGCCCGTAGTCTGTCTAGGGTGCCCAGGCCGGGCACCTCCAAATTGTCCCCCAGCGGGGCCAGGGGTGAGTCCCGAGAGGGTGGGAGGAAGGGCGTGTCTAGGGGCGAGCTCGGGGGAGACAGAGAGGACAGGGAGGAGCGGGAGGACAGGGACGCCAGGGACTGGGGCGTGTCCAGGGAGCGCCTCTGCTTGTGGAAGCCCGGGGGAACCTGGGGTTCAGAGAAGGGGGCCTCTCGTCCCAGGGAGTCGAAGGGAATCAGATCAAAGCGCAAAAGCTGGCTGCACTCTGCCGCGTCCGGCTTGTCGTACTGGGGCAGGCCGTAGATGTCGGTGAAGCTGATGGAGCTCAAGGAGCCCCGGCTGGAGGCCAGCGAGCCCCGGCTGGAGGCCAGGGACCCCCGGCTGCTCCCCGAAGACACTGTCAGGGTGCTGGCAGACAGGCTGAAACGAGAGCGCCCGCGCCCTTAGGAAAGCCGCCCTGCGATGGGCGCTGGAGCCCCACTGTCCCCGGCACAGCGAGCGGCCAGTCTGTTCCCGAGGGAACAGGGCCTGCCTCATCCTGCGTGAACCGCAGCGGGGCTGTCAGCACCTGCGAGCTCCAGGAGGCACCTGCGGTGATATGCCCTTTGTTTCCTGGGTATCGGAGGGAGACTAGCTAACATCAGGAGTCAAGCCTGAGTTCCCGGTCCAGCTGCAAGGCGGGCTAGCAGAGTCCACGTGGCCAACTCATTGCCCTTTCCAGCTTCCCACTTTCTCACGGGGGCTGCGACGAAACAGTTCCTACCTCCTGGCATTCTTTCGAGGAACAACAGAAAAGTACACACAGAAAGCCTTACAAAGTGCTTCCCAATACAGTAAGGACTTGGAAACCAGACCTATGATTGAGCATCCAAGTCATATTTTAAAATACCCATAACAAAACTATATCCATAACCACTTTTTTAAAAAGCTCAAATAATAAGGTCTGTGTGCATGTTTGTAGATGGACATACACACCCCTAAAGCTGGGAATTACAAAATCCTTGGAGAAATTTGACTTCAGACTTGTTATTTTGGAGCCAAGTTAGGTCTTATGCCTTGAATCATGTATTAGCAGCTCCTCTTAAAAATAAAATGTACCCACTTTTCCGTCTTTTACACCCCTTCCGGTTCTAAGTTCTGGTGGAGAAAACCAAGCTGAAGGAACTGTGAAGTTCACGGACATGTCATTATAACATGGTATTCATGACATGGTAGTGAAGGATAGCTTTCTCTTTTAAAGGCACCTTACCTTTAACTTGATAATGAAATGGAGCTTTCTCGTTTAAAGGCACCTACCTTTTTAACTGGGACTGGAGATAGGATGTTAAGCGAGTAGCTTCTTCCAGCTGCATAAGCAGACAATTTCTTTTTTCCTGAAGTAGAATCCTGTGGGTAAGAGAACAGTCCATTGGTGGATTTCAAAGATAGCGAGTATATTTTCCTAACAAGAAATTCAACTATAAATTCCCCACAGTGATTTCAGTTCAAATGGCTCAATTCTTTAAAGCACGTCTAAGTCCTAGATGCCCAAATAACAGAGACTGCCCCTGTCTTGCTTGAAAGTGTACCACTGGTGCCCTGACCAGTGCCTAATGCCCTGCAGAAGCTCAATAGATGGTGGGTGGGTGGACAGGTGGGCGGACAGAAAGGGAGGCACACATTCCCTCCACCTTCTCTGCTTGGGGAGGAAGCAGGTCAGGCAGTAGCTGCCCTAGCCAAGAGCCTCGCTTTGCGAGTTGGTTCTTTACTGGCAGCCGGGGCTGCGCCCGGACGGCGAGGCCAGCGCACCTCTCCGTGGCGCCCTGCACGGAGGTGGCCCGCGCGCGCTGGATCTCCTCCTCCAGGCGCCTCCGCTCCTCCTCCAGGCGGGCCGTGTCCTCCGCCGGCCGGCTCTGCTGGACGATGAGCTGCAGCTCCTGCAGCAGGGCCTCCTTCTCCTTGATGAGCTGCAGCCGGTCCCGGTCGGCCTCGGCCATGCCCGGCCACGACTCGTTCTCGAGCTGCGCCAGCTGCTGCTGGATATTTGAGACTCTGCAAGAAACGGAAACAGAGACATCCACGAACTTACAAAACCGTCTTCGCGCGTTCTCGGCACCAGGCACTGACTCGAAAAACTCACTCTGCTAAGTAAACACTGCACGGTTGCACAGAGTGACCCTTCAGTCGCAGCAGTGAGGAATCGGGGAACGATGTGTAAAAAAGTGACGTGTGTCCTTTGCATAATCTGCCCCGGTCTGGCACATCGGGCTTGTGTCAACGACCTGACATGAGGCTGCAGCCCTCCCCACACCCGTGTGCTCTGTGGTTTCGGACTTGTGGTTTCCTGCGCGGTCCTGTCCCAGAGCAGGAGGCAGCTGGCTCTTTTCTCCCCACCTCCCATCACCGCCCGCTAAAACCACTGGCCACATGGGCGGGCCTTCCAGCTCCTGCCTGCGCAGCAGTGCCGAGCTGCTGACACCTGCCTTGACAAAGCACAGGCGACGCGCACCCATCACAGCGCTTCTGAGGGAGGGGCCCGGGGCTCTGCGGGCTCTCTCCTGCCCTGGGGACCTTGACTGTGTGTGAACTTCCAAACGCATGCAGACAGCAGACAGTCACCAAAAGCTGACCGCATGGAGCAGTGGACACACGCGCCAGCAGATGCGGGGGGGGGGGGGGGGGCGGCCCCGGTGAGCGTGGGCATGAGCATGGCATGAGCTAATCAGCCACACTGAATGTGTCAGCACCATCAGCCTCAAGGTGCAAAATACAGACTGTTGTCCCTTTCCACACGCCTAAATGTCCACGTTTGCCCAGCAAACAGAATGCACCAGTTTTTGTGTCCCGGGGTTGTTGGCAAATGCAGATTAAGTGAAATAGATGTGGCTTGTATTTTCAGAGTATACTTTGAATGCAGAAATAGAATTTTTAAAATATTTTTACTAGAGGCCCGGTGCACAAAATTTATGCACCCGGCAATGCCCGCTTATGTTTGATACCCTCTGCTTTCTGGCAGCCTGGCTGGTCTGGAGGATGGTCACTGGCCTTGGGGCTCTCAGGGGCTTGCATTATACACTGATGTGACGATCCTCACAAAAATGGGAATGGCAGGCATGCTCCTGGGACTCCCAGTTCCTGTGCCCAGGGCCTGTGTCACTATTCAAAGCTGGCATCCTGCCTGCAGGATCCAGACTTCAGAATCCTTCTCAACACTGTGCTCCCTGCAGGTACCGCCAATTGACGTGCTGGCCAGCCCTGCACCAAGTAGGGCTCCTCCTGAACTAGACATGCACATGGGGACCGTGACCCGGCTACCTGACCAGGCAAGACTCCTTCAAGTACCAAACCAATGAGAAGACTCACAGTAGACAGGTAATAGTTTAAATGTACACATTTTGCTCACATCCAACTGACCAATACGGTCAAGAAAATAGTTGAATGTCAGTAGCTTTATTAGACACGTTCTTTTCTAACTTAAAACTCATTTCCTGAGAATATGTTGGAAAATGGCGCCAGATCATGTCACTGAAAAAACTAATGACAGAGGCAGCTGAATAGAGCTAGCAATCTAACTGGGGTTAGGCATCCACCAATGTCTAATTAGTGTAATTAAAACTTATGGCAGTCATATAACCAATGCCCAAGGAAAATATACCCCAGGCAGACCCACAAATAAACTAGTGCCAAATCAGACAGTATACCCAATGAAATTTCTGGAACATTCTACCATAGAACAAGACAAGTCAAAGGTAAGGAATAAATATAAAAGAGATGAAGAACAATGAGCAAATCCATTGTGTCCTCATAACTTTCCATTTCAACTTAGTGGATCCACAGGAAGCCTAGCTGAGCCCAGCTAAAGTCAGCATCGCCTTGTAATATGTACTAATTCATATACGTACACTGAAAGCAGGCATATTTTAGAATCAGGCCTTTTGAGATTTCTGAGGTTTATACATGGGATCAAGATTCCATTTGAGCCCGGCTGACATGGCTCAGTGGTTGAGTATCGAACTATGAACCAGGAGGTCACGGTTCGATTCCCGGTCAGGGCACATGCCCAGGTTGCGGGGCTTGATCCCCAGTGGGGGCGTGCAGGAGGCGGCCGATCAATGATTCTTTCTCATCATTGATGTTTCTGTCACCCTCTCCCTCTCCCTTCCTCTCTGAAATCAATAAAGATATATATATATATTTTAAAAGATTGCATTTGAGTTGGCTCCAGGTTAGCAGCCATGCCTACAAGGATTCTCGTTGCTGAGAGTGGCAGAAGCAGCAAGCTAGATAATCCTACTCTTTCCCAGAAAACCTCAAGGAACACCACTATCAGAAAAGAAAATGAGGCAGAAAAAGGGAATTATATGAGGGAGGAGAGGCAAAGGGCAAATTTCACAAGTTCTGCCCACCGTGGGCGTTAAACAAGCAGTACCGTGGCCCAACTTCAACACGGTACCATAACTTTCCACAGCTGGCGAGAAAGACATGCAAAGACACACGCTGAGGGACGACCTCAGGAGCAGAAACAAAATCTGGATGGAGCTGACTTCCTGCAGCACATCTGGAAAAGCTGTTTGGGCTGTGCCGAACACTAGGCCAGCATGTCTGCGCTTAAGAATCGTGCTTTTCAAAAACGAATTCCATTTCACAATGATGCGAATGACTGCATGGCCATTTCAGAGCCGTACGTGAGTCTAGAAGAATACCGGCATCTGCTGCATAGTGCGATTTCTTTCCCTGTAGCCACACTCTGGCCGCAGCCACGGGGGGCCTGCTCTCAGCCAGGTCGGGAGGCACATGTGTCTGTCTGTCTACCCTGGAAGCCAAAAGCTCTAGAAGGATTCCTTCGATGATCCCTTGTACATTCGCCAAGAGACGGACAAGACGGCTTTGCCCTGACAACAATACGCCTTGTCTACCACGCTGCTGGCCTGGAAACGAGCCACCCCGGGAGCAGCCGAGTGGCAGGGTAACTGGAGGAAACAGGCCCGCCTGGGGCCGAGCACGGCTGCGCAGTCCCCACGTCCCTGCACATCCACGCCGAGCAGCTGACCCAGGGTCGGAACCCTCCTGCGAGCGCATCATCCGACTCTGGGTAACACAGCAGAAACTTTCCAGAAAGCCTCTTTTCTGAAAATCACTTCAGTGAAATTAAATACATGGAAGCAAAGTGAGGTCATGATGCAAGTTTACAAAAAAGAAACTTTTCCAAGTTCATTTTTAAAGAGAACTGAGTGCAACTTCAAATTGGCGAGGGTTTTTTTTTCTCCCTGCAAGTCAACTGTGTTTTTTATTGATTCCCGCTTTTGATAGGTAATACATTGTACGGCCTATGTCTAACCTCTCACAAATGCCTCTAGAAGCTTTAAAATCTGTGTCCCTATGCTCACGGCAGAGAGAGAGGAAAGGCGAGCCTCCGTCCAGCATTCCTGTTTCATGCTGATTATGTGACTTCCAAGTTCGATTCCCCGAACAGGTCCAACGTGGACAGAAGTGAAGTAGGACTCGCTTTTCCTTTCGTATTTTGGCCCAAATGCCTTTTCGGTGACAACCCAGCACCAGGAAACCATGAATGGAAACCGCATTTATGCTGCAGCTGCTGCTCAGACCCTCACAATTCACATGAAAATCTTAAATGGGATTTGAATTTTTCCAAGAAAAAAAATGCACTTTCTGTATTACACAGCTTTGAGGCATTTGAACATATCCAGAGTAACCTCCAGGCATTCGGCGCGTTCCGGAAATACTGCTTTCAGAACGCAAGTGGCGGCCCAGGCAAGCCACGGTCCCACGCGACCGTGATGCGACGTGACGGAGCGGCATCAGCCGAGCCGCGGCCATCAGATGTCAGTCACAGCCACAGACCTGAGGCTCCTTAAGTCCGCTCTCCTTCGTTTCCTTTGTGTACATATCCATTTAAATGAAAAGCAAGCGCTCAAGAACATCTCAGCTGAGATCTCAGAGGAACGATGAGATCACTTCAGCTGCGTGAACTAAATATCGATCAGCCAGTGTCCACTCAGCTCAACTCCTTAGTCTACATGGGAAATTCGAGAAGTCTGGATCTAGAATGTGCGGTGTAAGGGTCTACTGATAGCCCAGCATTCCTCCCTGCCCTCACATCTTTGCCTGTTTGAATTACAGATCCTCAGAGCCACAACTTTAAATGAAAAGCAGGCCGTCTGCAGGCCTCCTCTCGGCCTGAATGGGGAGGAGGGAGCTACAACGTGAGGGACGCCTGCTTTTGTCTCTCACAGCCAAGCTCCACCCCCACAACCCAGAGACACAGTCACTTGAGAAATGAAGAAAAATCCAAGCGACTGATCAAATTCCACTGGAATCCTCACACCACACTCATTCCTGACAACGGATGAACAGCAGGACCCATCCTGGCAACAAACACTAAGGCACAGCGAAGCTGGATGGGCCGAATGTTTTGTTCCTATCTGGACTGCGCGCGTTTCTATGGAAACAGCTACAGTTTGTGCACAGTTCTGGAACAAGTGCTCTTAGGTTAAAAATAAGGAGCCATCTGCGTCATCGGCATTGCTTCCAGGAGACCTGTTCTTCCAAACTGGCCTTGAAAAATTCCAAAATTTTTAACCAATAAAGTTTAACCAATATCCCTATCATAAGGCCCAAGGCGGTGCTCCTGCAGGGGAAGGAAGAGGCACTTGTTTGGACACATCTCACGTGACCGGAGTTGAAAACACAAAACTAGTCATGACAGGGGTGGTTTGGTCTGGAGAAGTCTCTAGAAATCATACTACCATTTGCAATGATGAGTTCCACTTCCACCAACATCCTTTCAATTCAAATACATACGAAACCCCTCACTGTCCACACCACCATATTTTAAAAAAATATTTTTATTGATTTCTGAGAGGAAGGGAGAGGGAGAGAGAGAGAAACACCAATGATGAGAGAGAATCATGGATGGGCTGCCTCCTGCACGCCCCATGCTGGGGATCGAGCCTGCAACCACTGAGCCACGCTGGCCGGGCCACGACACTGCATTCTGATGATTTCCCAACTCTGGAAAAAAAATCTCACCTCTAGATACACAAGCAAAGCTGTACACACATGCAGAAACTTCTCCCGGTTTAGAAATGGCAGAGCCCAGGAGGTTTTGCTTGGAGAGCAACACAGGCCAGGTTCTGGGGATTAGGACATGGGCATCTCGGGGCGCCGCTATTCCGCCTGGTCCAGGCGCTATGTGAGCAGTCTGCCTGGCAGCGCTGAGGCCGGCATGTCTGGGAACAGCAAGGGGGCCCACGCGGCTGGAGCAAGGCAAGTGAGCAGGACGGGGCAGTGGGCTAATGCACCGAGTCAGCAGACCACCTGCTCCTCCAGGCCCATGTTGTCCACACACAGTAGGGATTCAGGAGCAAGACAAGAGGAAGGTTTTACAGCTGTGGCGCTACTGATGCCTGGGCCACCTGGGTCTTCGCTCTGGGGCCGTCTTGCATCTTGCGGGTTGTCTAGCAGCATCCCGGGGCCCCACCCACTTGGCGCCTGCAGCCACAACAAACAAAAATGTCCTCTGGGGGCAAAAATCACCCATGGATGGTTGAGAGCCTCTGCGAGCAGAGGAATGATGGGATCTCACATGCTTTGAAAGGATCACTTGTCTGAAAAAAAATTCAGACGGTTATCTCAATAAGCCAAAGTCACACAAAAACAATGTTGAGCTGCACCACCAGTGCGAAACGGCACCGTTGTCACCATGGCAACGGAGAAAATGTCTCCGCCCATTACGCTAGTAAGATTTACAGGATGATGATATTTAATGGTGCTAAGGAGATACAGAAACCAGGACGCTTGATCCCGTCGGTGGCAGTGTAAAGCGGGTAAGTCATTTCGGAAGGCGATTTGGTGACATCTTTTACAACGGTCAATACACGTGTCTCTAGACCCAGACATCCATCGCAAGGCTGGCCCGTTAACAGATGGGCTCTGCTTGTGAAAAGGGAAAACTGCAGCCATCTAGCTGTCCATCCAAGGAGGGGTGCTTATCACACTACAGAAGCTGTGCAATTTCCTTTGCGCAGCTACAGTGGCCTTAGCTTATTCCATGTTTACATGAAAGACTGCAAGGCTTCGCACTCAGCCATTAACAGTGGGAGGGGGGGTAAAACAGGGGCAAGGTGGATGCTATCGATTGTGCCTTTGACAAAAACAGTGTATGCATGTATGATTATGCAATAAAAATAAGGAAAATGCATGTGCATGTATGCATGTATATATGTAAACATGAATGTGTTGTGTGTGTTCAAGCATGTATACCCTGGCGTGTGTGCATGTGTGTGCGTGTGTGCACACACACCCATACACAACCAGGGTATTCCTGCTCCATATTTCCATTAGTTGTGAAGGAGTTTATCTCCCGAACAGGTTAGAGACCTCATGTGATCGCACCACACGAAGAACACAATTTCTTCAAAACACCTGGAGCAGGGCAGGTGCTGAGCAGAAGTACAGTCTCCCAGTTCCCAGCAGTGTCGCTATGGGGTGAAGCTACGGGGGTCATCCACACAGGCCAGCTGCTGGAAACCACCCAGGGATGGCCCCGCTAAGATGTCACAACCCCGCAGCACAGCGCAGGGGTCCTCAGCTGGGCACTGGTGCCATCTGGGGGAGACCATCCTTTGTGTGGGAGCGTCCTGTGCAGTATAGGATGGGGAACAGCACCCCTGGTGGCCGCCTACCACAGCCAAAATGCTCCTCCCCTGGACGTCTGTGCTACGTATCCCTGCGTTTTAAATGTTGCCAGTGCAGCCCCGAAAGGCCTTTCTCAGGAGCCCCTACTGTCCCACAAAGGTTGAAATGCTGGGACAAGCCCGGCCGGTGTGGCTCAGTGGTTGAGCATTGACCTATGAACCAGAAGGTCACGGTTCAATTCCTGGTCAGGACACATGCCCGGGTTGAGGGCTCGATCCCCAGTAGGGGGAGTGCAGGAGGCAGCCAGTCCATGATTCTCTCTCATCATTGATATTTCTCTCTCTCTCTCCCTCTCCTTCCTCTCTGAAATCAATACAAAATATATATTTAAAAAAAGAAAAGAAAGGCTGGGCCAGGGCCCCCCTCCAGTGCAGTGTCTTTTGCCACAGCCCATGCGATCCTGAAACTCTGCTCTTAGTGGACAGACACTGGGGAAGGGCGGTGTCCTCCCGAGTTACTTTCTCAAATTCTCCACTTTTTACCCAAATGCGTTCTCTCCGCACACCAGCTCTAGAACACAACAACATCACTTGCTATGTTTGGGAAATGCCACAGCAAAACACGTAACAATTATGCTCCCAAGTGCAGCAACCACCTAGTGTCTGCGTTTTGGACAACACAGCACATTCCAGCACCCACAGTGCGCAGCTCCAGTAGGGACGTGTGCCGACACGCGGGACGCTCCGGAGGGACGGTCGCCCTGACCAAGCCCAGCAGCTCGGAGGAGGAAGGAGCCGCCGCGGGGAATCTGAGCTCCCAGATAAGCACGCGGCCGCCCCGGCTTGGGGCTTGGCCGAGCTCCATGTAGGAATGGGAAGCCCCCCACCAACACCTCGGGGAAAGCCGGGAAGATGGGGGAGAGCACCCGGGCGGGCGAACAAAGGCCCATGTCAGCCCCAGCCGGCCCTCCAGCGGGGAGTCAGATGATCTGCTTTTGTTGCTATTTTTACATTTTAGAAAAAGGCAACAAAGTGCGTTTGCAGACCTCCATGAATGATACAGTATACCGAGCCGGCCCAACCCCAACGCTGAGCTCCCGGACAGGACCCTGCACCCACGGGCATGCCGCGCCTCCACTCCCACCCCCCCAAGATAACTTTAAAAAGATACGCTTTATAGCTTTTCCGAAGCACATATCTCGAAAATATTTGGTTTTAAGACTCTTTCCAGAATGAAAAAGAGAGAGAGAGTTTCTAAAAAGAGGGCATGAAAGCGAGGGCAGGGTCAGCACTGGAAGCAGGGACCCTGCAGGGGTGAGGTGACGCCCTGAACTCCGGTGTCACCGGTGGCGACTACACACGGCCTCTCCATCCTGCCCGTGCCCCGTGGCTAAGGCTGGGAGGGGAGAGAGGAAAGACAACCTTGGAAATGCACAAACAAGGTCAAGTCTCGATGTTCAGGAGGCAGGTGATTTACAACACAGGTTAACAGAAACGCCCGCCTGTCCCTTCTCTCCGTCAGAATGAACTGGGTTGGATCCTGCTATCACCCGTGGACCTAATCCTTACTGAACCATCTTTCAACCCACAGTGTGTGACTTTTCCCATTAACCTATAGAGTTAGAAGCCACATGTGAAGAGAGAAAGCCATTTTGCTTAACCTGGTCTGAGGGGCTGCTGCTCAGATGAAACGGGGGAGGAGGGGGAAGGAAGGGAAGGAGAAAAGGGAAGGAGGGAGGGAAGGGAGGGAGGTAGAAAGTTCTGAACTACCCAAGAGGACAAGGAAAGCTGAAAACGTCTGTATTTTTATTAAATCATGTCTTTATACCTATTTGCAACGTTGAGAATGTCACCATTTTAAATGCACGTGAAGTCTGATCAATGTATTCAGAAGCTACACAGAAATGGAGATGTTTTACTTTTTATGCTGTCGGACTGTGCTTTCCAAATAAGTGGGCAGTCACACCTGGGAATGCGGCAGCCAGTCTCCCTGCAGAGAAAGGAGGGGTAGCAAGCGGGACGCGCAGAGGGGCGGCCTACCTCTTCTTGGCCTCCTCGTACTGCCAGTTCAGCCGGACGCGGTCCACAAGTCTTGTTTTATCGTCGAAGACAAACTTCCAAGGCGGGGGGGGGGGGGGGGAAGGAAGCATATTAGAAACATCTTTTTAAAATAGACCATTCATTTCAACTTTCAGCAACAATGAAGGCTATCGTGATTCATCTTCCAGTTTCCATTTTCCAAAGGCCTGGAAGGAAACACACCAAATCCTACCCAGCAGCCACCACGGACAGTGACGCTGGGAGGGGGCTGGGATGTTTGCTTTCCCGACATTGGTGAACGTTTTTGAAACAGTGAACGCACATTCATTTGTTGTGTAATTCTAAACAACAAATTACGTTTTAAAGGAAATATGGAATGACTTGATAAAAACTGATACAAAGGCAAAAAAATTCAGCTCATTTGGGGCAGTATATTCTCTCATTTCTTTCATTTCTTTATTTGATTTTCATTCTTTATTGTTCAAAGTATTACCTATGTCTCCTTCCCCCCCCCCCATTATGCTCTCATTTCTTAATAAATACAGAATGCTGTTCTCCTAAGAAGTCACCAGATCTAAGATGACAGACTAGCTGTGTGACGCAGGGACCAGGACTCCGAATGTTCTATGGCCGGAGCCTGGAGCGTCGCCTTAGGAGTTAGACCTGAAATGCCATGCTCTGCCGTGACCACTAGCTGCGCTGAAATATTTCCACATGGATCGCACTGAAGTGAGCAAATCCCTAAACGGAAGGAAAGAGACGCCTGGCTGGGAGGCGACTGTAGCTCTCCTTGGTTACTTCTCCTTCTTTCCTGAAAACACATGACTTCGTTTCAATAAATCACCTCCATCTGTAGACCTGACCTTACTAGACCAGATAGTATGGCCATGAAGCTTTTTTTTAAATAACTTCATGTCAACGAATACTTGAAACTCGTCTACCTGAATGATTAGTGATGAAGCTATTGATACACATCATGTAAGTGCAGTTCAAACCCGCACTGTTGAAGGGTGAACTGTATTTTTCTGGAACAACATGATGTAGCAGAGAGCACAGGGATCAGAGATGTTGACTCACACTCATGCCCGCCTCTCCCTGACTACGTGACCTTAGGTAACCTGGCACCTCGATCCCCTCTCCCGTCACAAGGGGATGGAAACAACCACTTAAATGCAGATAAGAGCCATGAAGCTGCCAACCCAGGCAACCAGTCACCCCCCTCAGTGGCTGCGCCGGGTCATCAGCCTCTCCCCGACCCTTGAGCGCCATCAGAGAGCCTCCCATCTGTCCTGCTTCTGTCAGGCCAGTCCAGAGGCCCTCACTTCTAATTCCAACCTTGTGATAAGCAGCAATGAGTTATTCACGGAATTCGGAGTCTTGAACTTCTTTCCCTCCCTCCTGCCAAAATCTTTAGGCAAAACATGCCAGACATTTCTGACTTACAGATTCTTCTCCTGGCGACCATATTCCTTAAACCAAAGGTGCCCGCCCGGCCTCAAACGTCTGATCCTACTTTTAAGAATAATGAAATAGGGCTATTCCAGGACATCCAAGGCATAAAAAGTCATTATCTGCTGATAGTATAGTCCCCTCAAAGAAGCACTACCTGCTAAAATTTCAAAATATTAGCCAATTATTTAAAACCCAGAGGTTTTTGTCAATGGCTCTTCCCTTTCTTTTTTCTCTTTTTATTTAATATGGAGGAGGGCAATCTGTAGTCTACTGATATTTCATCTTCAAGCCCAAAGGAACAGAATAAACTGTTTATCCATTTGTACCAAATGACACACTCCACTCAATGACATTCCAGCAGCAGTGTCTTCAAGTAGTGGCTTCAAATGATGGCTGCCAACTTTATTTGTGTGGCTAACTCAAGGTTTCACTAATCATCAAAAAGGGGTATTATGAAATTCTTTCAAGTCCCAAACAAAATTAATTTTAATTCAATTTCATTTCCTGACATTCTTTTAGAATAAGAAATAGCACCAAAATAGAACCCAAGGTGACACAGCCACAAAGCCTTTGAGATTCACTGGTCTAAGCCAGAGATCAGCAAACTAAGGCCCGAAGGCCCAATCCGGCCCACCACCTGTTTTTGTAAATAAAGTTTTATTGGAACACAGCCCCTGCCATTAGTTCACATATCACCCATGGCTGCTTTTGCATAACAACACCGCAGAGTAGGTGTGGCAGAGACTGCATGGCCTGCAAGGCCCCAGATATTTACTATCTGGACCTTTATACAGAAAAGTTAGCTGACCCATACTCTAAAAAGTCACGTTTGTCAAAGAGACATCTAAACTCAATTCTCAAAAGGATTCTGCCATTTTTAACAATTCGAATCACAAAGATATAGGTAATAAGCAATTTCAGTGTATCCCAGGCCACTGAACCTTCACAGCTGGATGTGAGAAACAATATTTTTTTCTTCCAATCGAATGGCACAAAAGCCAGAACATTTCTGAAGAGGAAGTGGAAAAGGAAAGCCAATGAGAGATGACCACACAAAAGCAGCCCTTCTGGCTCGATTCTTCCCCGGTGACTTACCTCTCCGATGATGTCGGTCTGAGACCCAGCGTCGCAGAACTGGTGAGAGTCGCCCACCGCGCCTGGGCGGGGAGGGACTTCTTGCAGCGGGTCGGTCAGAGAGAAGTTATTCCTGAAGCCGTCGGTGAGCTTGGCCAGGCTCTGCAACAGAATGAACGGGCCACTTGTGACAGAGGTGGGCGCGCGCCTCTCCCTCTAAGAGCAGGCATTTCACTCCGCGCCCAGTGGGCGGCTTCCCCACTGGCGGGCTGGCCACCCAACCCCATTCTCATCGGATTACAAAGAAATGTCCAGGACATGCACCTTTAATACAACTCTCAGTGACTGAAATCAAACAGCGATCGAGTCCTCCTGGTAGCGCGTGAACAATACAGAGGACAACTGTGGTACCCTTTTCACTGTTTTTCAAAACTCTTGGGGAAAAAAAAAAAGCATTCCCTCAGAAAACACTCAAACTCATAGAACCAGAAAGTAGAATAGAGGTTGCCAGGGGTTAGGGGGAGGGGAAATGGAGAGATGTCAGTCAAAGGGTACAAACTTCCAGTTATAACATGCGTAATATACATCAAGGTGACTTAGTCTCTTAAACTGTGCTGTGTGCCTTGATGCAGCTAAGAGAATAACCTTAAATGCCCTCACCACACACACACACACACACACACACACACACACACACACAGGGTTAACTATGTGAGGTGGTGGAGGTGTTATAATTTTATGGCGGTAATCATTTCACAATCTGTATGTGTATCAAACCTTCACATTGTACACCTTAAATCTAGACAAATTTGTTTGCGAACTATGCCTCCATAAAGTGGGGGAAGGAGTCACATCTCACATGTCCTAGCAGTAAAGGAGTCCGAGATGGATGCTACTTTGAGATCTTCATAAACCACGCAGGGGCAAAGACAGCTCCCAGATGATATTGACACGTTTTCACAGCCTGACTTTCTATCATAATTCTACATGGTTCAAGGTCACCTCATACATACGCCAGTTTGCCAGATCTCAGAGGAAGTGTGTATTCTGGCACATAGAAGCCCTTTGGGTGAAAGTTCAAGAGAAATCAGATTTTCTACAATTTTTTAAAAGACTGTTTCTATGGACACCAGGACGCCCAGGGGCGGTCTAACGCAGCTGGCGCTGGATCTAGACCAGGGCGTCCTGCAAGGGGCTGAATTATTAAGCTCGTACGAGAAAACAAAGCCGCTCAGATCAGCGGTCGCCAACCGGTGGTCTGTGGAGCACTGGTGGTCCGTGAGGTCCGAAAGGTTGGCGACCGCTGGTTTAAGGAAGCCTTTGGAGCAGCGGCTGCCAACCGGTGCCTGCCCATGTGGAGCAGAAAGACCAGCGTGCATCCATTTGCAAAAAGTCAGCTTTTTCTCAAAGCAACAGGAACTACAAGAATTGAAGTTGCAAAAAAACAGCAACATGAAGCTACAATGATCCCAGCCTTATCGCTGAATCTCTGGCCATGGGAGGACACGTGGGACGAAGCAGCTCCCTGTGCACAGACACGGGGAAGGGGATGGGGCACGATGCGGGAGGGAGCCGTGCAGGGCAGCAGGCACAGTCCCGGCTGTCCCTGAGGGCCGCTGAGCACGTGCTCGCCCTGTCACGTGTCTTCAGAAACACGCCGAGGGCCCGCACCACGCTAATAAGGGTCGTTACGGGCCGTGAGAGAAGGGGGAGAGAGCTAGACTTATCAGAGACTTTCTGTGTTATTTTGATTACTGAGCAATATGAATGTGTCACCCACTGTGGCTTGAATTGTGTCCTCCAAACACCATGTTCAAGTCCTCCCCCGGGGCCCGCGAACTTGAGCCCACTGCAGTCTTCGCAGATGGAGTCAAGTCAAGATGAGGTTACACTGGCTTAGAGCGTGCTCTCACCCAGGACCGGCGTCCTCATGAGAAGAGAACATTTAGACAGAGACACATGGAAGGCCCCATGCGACAGCAAAGGCACGCGCCCGGGAATGCCAAGGGTTGCCAGTGGCCACCGGAAGCTGGAAGGGACAGGAAGGGGCCTCCCTAGAGCCTTCAGAGGGCACGGCCCTGCGAACCCCTTGATTTCAGGCTGTGGCCTCTAGCCTCTGAGAGAATCCATTTCCTTGGTTCTCAGCCCCCCGGTTTGCAGTCCTCTGTGATGGCAGTCCTGGGAAACTAGCATGCATTGTTTTAAATACATATGTGCGCGCACACATTAAAGATATATATGCATATGTAATACCATATATACATGTATGTCTTTGGATATATATGAACTGTGCATATAATAAGTATATAATATTTTTAAAATTCTAAACAAAGGGAAGACAGACAAGGAGGCAGACAAGTGGGCACGAATATATGATATTGTAAAAATTCTACATAAAGAAAAGCTAGACGAGTGGGCAAAGGGGCGCACGCCTCCCACCTGCATCAGGTCCCGCCGCTCCTTCTCGCCTGTGCAGATGGCCTTCTTGATGGTCCGCAGCTCATTCATGATAGCCTGGGCCTCATCCAGCTTGTAGGTGGTGTGAGTATTTGACATCTTGCGGTCAATCCTGGTTAAAGGGGAAAACTATTGTCACTCCATGCGAGATCGTCCCATTCCATTAAACACAGAAAACTCAAAGCTTCCCAGAAAGGTGGGGAACAGTGCAAATGGGTTCCAGCAAAGGGAGAGAAAGATCCCGTGCGAGGCCTTGTGGGACACGGCCTGCGCCAGGGCAGCCGAGGCCGCGCTCCATGAAGAGCCTCTAATGATAAGGCAATGAGATCATCAGCTGAGCACCTGCCGGAGGCTTTCAATCCTTGAGAGGAGGGTCATGTCTTACTCGCTTATCCCCAGCACCTGGTCAAAAAGGGGCGCTAAATGAACATGCAGCGGATCTGTGTGCAGGGAGAATATGTGGGAACCAGCAGAGAGCAGTGAACTGTCATTAATGGCGCCTTGTACAAAAGCTGGAGACTCTTATGTCTTCCCTATGTACCTCTTTCTTTTATGTCATCTTGGTTCTAATTAATCACTCGCTCTCTCTACTACGCACCTCCTCAATTCTTGTCTTTAATCCAAACACCCTTCGCCCTTCCTTCCTTCCATGAATTCACACTTCCTTCCTCCTTCCCTCTCGCCCATCCTTCCTTCCCTCTCGCCCATCCTTCCTTCCCTCTCGCCCATCCTTCCTTCCCTCTCGCCCATCCTTCCTTCCCTCTCGCCCATCCTTCCTTCCCTCTCGCCCATCCTTCCCTACCTCTCGCCCTCCTTCCTTCCTTCCCTCTCGCCCTCCTTCCTTCCTTCCCTCTCGCCCATCCTTCCTTCCTTCCCTCTCGCCCATCCTTCCTTCCTTCCCTCTCGCCCATCCTTCCTTCCCTCTCGCCTATCCTTCCTTCCCTCTCGCCCATCCTTCCTTCCCTCTCGCCCATCCTTCCTTCCCTCTCGCCCATCCTTCCCTACCTCTCGCCCTCCTTCCTTCCTTCCCTCTCACCCATCCTTCCTTCCCTCTCGCCCATCCTTCCCTACCTCTCGCCCTCCTTCCTTCCTTCCCTCTCGCCCATCCTTCCTTCCTTCCCTCTCGCCCATCCTTCCTTCCTTCCCTCTCGCCCATCCTTCCTTCCCTCTCGCCCATCCTTCCTTCCCTCTCGCCCATCCTTCCCTACCTCTCACCCTCCTTCCTTCCCTCTCGCCCATCCTTCCTTCCCTCTCGCCCTCCTTCCTTCCCTCTCACCCATCCTTCCCTACCTCTCACCCATCCTTCCTTCCTTCCTTCTCACTTGTCCTTCCTTCCTTTCTTCCTTCTCGCCCATCCTTCTTTCCTTCCTTCTCACCCATCCTTCCTTCTTTCTAACCCATCCTTCTTCCCTTCTTTCCTTCCTTTCTTTTCACCCATCTTTCCTTCCTTCTCATCCATCCTCCTTTCCTTCTCACCTTTCCTGCCTTCTGGCTGCCCTCCCGCCCCTGAGTGCACGAGGCCGGCAGCACGTCCTCTGTCACGTCCGCCATACCTAAGCCTTGAGTCGTAGGAGCCCTCAGGGCTAAAGGAGTTGGGATACTTCCATCCAGAAATGGAATGTGCTCCTCTGGAAGGTCATTAGCTGAGCTGCAGGTCCCGCCCCACCACCGCACAGCTCTGGTTCTGAGTTGTCGCCCCGCGTCGACTGAAAACCTGGGTCCTAACGGCCAGCCCACACGCCCTAACTTGGCACTCACGGAAGCACCCCGGCAGGCCACGGAGGACAAGCGACACGCCAGCTCTACAGTGGGACCCTGGGCAGGTCACTTCGCCTCTTTAAACCTGTCTCCTCGTGTCGCACATAGGACACTAACCATGTTTCTCCCACTTAGGGCGAAGATGGGAGGAGAGGGCCGCCCGGGCCGAGGCCTGGCGTGTCATGTTTGTGTGGCCATTACTATTATGAGGACGATGCTGGATCTACTTACTCATGGGAGAAAAAGTCAATAATTCACCAACCCCGGTACTTTATTATCATTAACAAATTCCTGGCCACATGCGTCACAACTCACAGCAAAACTGAGCACCGGAGCTGAGCTGAGCTGTCAGCGCCCTTGGAACCAGAGAAGGACAAATAGCGCGAGCAGGAAGCCTGCCCTCCCCCTGGAAACGGGCTCGGCTCGGCAGCAGCGCCGCGGCTGCCATCAGTTACAAATCAAACACGCATGAAACCTGCTCCCAAGGCCTCTTCCACGGAGAGCGGATGCAGGCGCACCAGGGGACCCCACACATTAAATGGTGACACCCCCAAATCCCAACATGGCCCGGCCATGTGTTTTTCCACTTCAGCTATTCTATGGAGAACCGAGAGTCTAAGGCGAGACAGCAGCAAAAAGCCATCCATCTCACATCTGCGAGGAAGTGGCCTGACTTTTCTTGCGGGGGGGGGGGGGGGGGGGGGGGGGGGGAATCTAGACTCATTTACATAATAATGTCTCCTTGTATTCATCTTCTGATCAAAGGCTTCCCAATGCGGCTCATTGATGTCACAAACCACAGCCCACATAGGCTGATGGAGTCTGGAGAAAAGGGTTACAGCATTTCCAGACAAAAAAGCCCCAAGGCCAGAAAAGTCTGACTTCTCCGCAAGGCAATGACCACAGCCCCTGCTAAGCAGGTCAGACGGCCCCTCCACAATGAAGACGGCAAATGGATCACCCTGACACTGACACGGGCACAGAGAAATGAAAACTCGACTGCCTTAAACAAAACTGTTTCAACTGCTTGAAAGTCAATGCCAGTCAGATAGCCACAGACACACAGCACGGCTCAGGCTGCAATGAGATGCTAACCTGGTCAGCCCAGCTTGGTACTGTGTTGTGGTTTCCCTCTGGCTTGAGCAGTTATAGAGCCTAAGCGTAGCCACCAGGAAACCAGGGATGGAGCCAGCAGTCTCCCGAGGCACCAGGTTCTACGCTGGGAACGGCTGCAGTTCCCATCAGGGAGAGGGGTCAGCGGGCCTGCGCTTCACCCCACCAGCAGACCCGCACAGTGCCTAGAATAGCCGTGGGCAAACTACGGCCCGCGGGCCGGATCCGGCCCGTTTGAAATGAATAAAACTAAAAAAAAAAAAAAAAAGACAGTACCCTTTTATGTAATGATGTTTACTTTGAATTTATATTAGTTCACACAAACACTCCATCCATGCTTTTGTTCCGGCCCTCCGGTCCAGTTTAATAACCCATTGTGGCCCTCGAGTCAAAAAGTTTGCCCACCCCTGGCCTAGAAGTTCAACTTCAAGGTCACAGGCGTGGGCTCTGGCCTTAACTCTACCCAAGTGCTCTGAGGCCTTGAGGAAGAATGAAGACTGGCCCAGAGCAGCTGTTTTCAATCAATTCCAAGAGTGTCCCCACGTGGTGAGCAGGAAGAGCTGGAGGGGGAGCCTACAAGAGCCCGGGACCCTCAGCCCTGCTTCGGCAGCACCTCCCCCTTCCAGGCTCAGCTACTCTGCTTCTACGGAAGACGATGTTTGGGGGCAGGAAAGGAAAAGAGAGTCCCCTGTTAAAAAGTGGGCAAGCGCCCTAGCTGGTTTGGCTCAGTGGATAGTGTTGGCCTGTGGACTGAAGGGTCCCGGGTTTTATTCCAGTCAGGGCACATGCCTGGGTTTTGGGCTCTATCCCCAGTAGGGGGCATGCAGGAGGCAGCTGATCCATGATTCTCTCTCATCATTGATGTTTCTGACTCCATCTCCCTTCTAAAATCAATAAAAATATGTATATTTTTTAAAAGTGGGCAAGCTATTTGAGAATATGATCTCGATGTTCTAAGAACCTCTGGAATACTATCATTTCAAAAGAGTTCTATTATTGTAGAACATATCATCCTATATAATAAAGAGCTAATATGCTAATTAGACTGAAGAGCAGAACGACCATCCAGAAGACATTCCGGACGAAGTTGGGGCTGCGAGGGCTGAGCCCCTTGCATGAATTTCATGCACTGGGCCTCTAGTTACATAATAAAAGATTATATATCATATAAGTATAACCTTACATAAACAGCGTATATAGCATACATTATTTGATTAAACTATATGATTATGGAAATAGTTCAATGGACCAAGGATTCACTAGGTGTCAGAGTCTTCCTGTGTGCTCCCCAGTTGTCACCTCCTTTAATCCCCTCAATGGCTCTACAAAATAAGCATAATCTCAGATTTTATAATGAAAAAATGGAGGCTCAGAGAGAGCACCTACGTGGCCCAAGGTGACAAGCTAAGATGTGGCAGAGCCGGGGTCAAACCCCATCTCCCGATTCTCAAGTCTTCATCGGGCGCCCCCCAAAGCCACAGGCGAAGCCTTGCTCAGAGCGGCCCATGGAGGTCCACAGGTTTAGACACGGGCAAGAGATGCTCCACAGAGCACAGGCCGTTCCTGCTCCCCGTGGGATCCACTCTCATCACACAGAGCCTCAGAGGCCAGGAGAGCTCTCCCTTCGCGTCCACAAGATTCATTTGGGAATTTTCTCCCTTTTTTCAATTCCCTCTAGAACTTTGAATGAAATCAAATAATGGGCTCAATGATTCAATATTTTCTAAAATAACAATATATTCCATTTCATAAAGAAAATCCTAACATCTGTGACTGCCAAAGAAATGTCTTTTTCTTCGTAAAATTTTCATTCAGAGTCTAAGACAGTGCTTTTACATGTCAAATAACATGACAGAACATTGATAACTGCTCAACAAAAGGTGGCACTACTCGGCCAGCGTGGCTCAGTGGTTGAGCATCAACCTATGAAACAGGAGGTCAGGGTTCAATTCCCGGTCAGGGCACATGCCCGGGATACAGACTCAATCCCCAGTAGGGGGTGTGCAGGAGACAGCTGATCCATGATTCTCTCTCATCATTGATGTTTCTAGCTCTCTCTGCCTCTCCCTTCCTCTCTGAAATCAATAAAAAAATAAATAAATAAACACACACCCTATCTAATAAAGAGGTGATATGCAAACTGACCATCATGCTGTCACAAAGATGGCAGTGCCCATAGCCACAAGATGGCGGCGCCCAGTCCCCTCAGCCCCGCCGGAGTCCCTTAGTCCTTGCAGCCCT